TCTGACGTAACTTACCGCGCGATGATAGAGGGTGCCACGGTAAACTGCGGTGCACATCAGTTCGGAGACATTCAAGGAGTCTGATCACGCTACAACACAAGCTTGCTTCCATTCCAAACAGAACGCGTGTGCTCAGAATCATCTTCCACAACAGACAGAACAGCAACAACATCCGCCGCCTGCGCATTACTTCTGACGCTGTTGTGTGAAATACCAAACTTGCGCCTTCTCTTGCGCCCATGCTAACCCCGCTCTTCTTGCCGGGGGATCCACGGTCAAGCAAGCAATCCTCTCACACGAGAAGGCCCTGGCGCAAGGTTCTCGTGGGGTCTTGGTCGAGTGGAAGAGAAGAGAAGAAACACCAAAACGAACATAAAAAAGCGGGTAGACAAAATCTACAGCAATACAATACGAAGATGCAAAAAAAAAACACACACACACACACACACACAAACAACACACGGAAAAAAAACGGCTCGCCGCGGCACACAATTTGCCGCCGATTCGTATTCGCGACGCGTGCCGCGCAGCATTTGATCGTCTACGGGTCGTCTTGCGTAGGGTTTGCCCAAGCCTCATTGGTCATGTCTGTACGCTTGTTGTTGTGTAGAGAGACGTTCCACACCGGCGAAAAGGCATTCATTCGTACGTCAACGAGATGCGGTGGAGGAACGGCATCTCAGAATAATCTACGTACAATGGTTGGCGGCAGCGGCCTTTGGTCCGAACAAAGGACGAACAAACCGAGTATTAAAATACGAGACAGAGAGTAGGGCTCCAAACAGGAGAGGGCAAGCAAGCATTCCGGTTATCATCGATTGCTCTAGAAGCACCGACACAACAGCCAGCGAGGAGTGAGCAAGTGAGGGGGGGGTTGTACACACACCAACCACATCGAAAAACGGGATCGCTATTGCACCCTACACTAAACTCCTTGGGTTTGGTGGTGGTGCTGTGCTATGCCAGTCCCTGTGAGCAGAGCAGGTCTTATGGTATAGACCAAAAGAAGAGGCGCTCGCTTGTCGACCAAACTAAGCGGTCCCTGAACGACGATTCGTCCCCAACAAGGACGACTGCTGGACACGCATGCATGTCTTGGGAAGCAAAATCTGTTGCTGCACCTTTGCGCTGAAACCAAGCGGCATCCAAACGGAAGACGTCAAGCACAGTATCGATCATCTCAAGGACGCACGGACGAGCGGCGTCTGCTTGTCGCTGTTTGTCGCGCATGAACCAGAATTTGTTCCAGAATCCCTACAGGCAGCCGTCAGCAACCAACAAAAAGGGTTGGACTTTTTCCCTCCTGTCAGAGCCCCGCTCCCCGGAGATCTCTACGTATACCACGACAACCCATTCCGTCCATCCACAACCTCACCCCGTGCACCCGTCCCTTCGCTGCCCTCTTTGCGTACATTTATCTCTCATCAATTCTTTCTCTCGCTCCCATCCGAGCGGCAAACAACCTACCGCGGTACTCTGCTCACCGGCGTGGTCTCTCTGTCCTCCGGCGAAAGGCAGATGCGTGCTCGCGTGCTCCCACTATCCTCCGCGGTCCTTCCACTCTACGTTCTTCGTGTCCTCGTTGCTCCCGCCTGTCCAAGAGTTGCTCCCCCTCTGTGCCTGCCTGCGACGGCTGACCCTCCTCTCAGTCTTTGCGCCTGGTGCAGAGAATGGCACGAGTGCGTGCCGATTGTTGTGCGGATGCAAGAATTAATTCCTTCGTTGTTCCGTCCCACCCAACCATTGTTTCATACGGGACTGTCATGTTGGTGGACCTGCCAAGCCAATCAAATCACGCAATCCCTTCGTCCCCAAGGCCGAACTCTCATGCTCGCATGTTTCATGTTTCCATCCCTCCCGCCACTCGCCCACCTGACGGGATAGACAGCCTCTGCCGAGAAAGCGGCGACATGAGAGATCGAGCTACTACTGTATACATGGACTACATGATGTACAGTAGTAGTGACGCCGAACTTGGCAAGAGAGCAACAGCAGCAACGCAGCAGCGGCAGCAGCGGCATCGTTCGGGATCGTCGCGGCGCCGTTCGTTGCTGTTCTAATGATGTCGAACACTGACTTGCGGGATGCTTGACACCGATCATGTAGGACATCTCATGTAAATAAGTGCAGACTGTTATTGTAGTCAGTCGTGGTCGAAACGGCGTCGGCGTGCGGCCGACAATGCGATGCCCATCACGGCCGCAGGCATTGAAGAAGAAAAGAGCCGGCCGAACGAAACAACAGTGCCGCATTTCGGAGTCAAATGATCCACCGTCCCACCGTTACAACGGCGGCCGAACGATGTACAAACTCGCCGCCATCATCGCCATCGCTGTCAGGAGAACAACCACCACGGATGGTAGTGCTGTGCAAGATGACGGTCTACAGCAAGTAGTCTATACCCGGGGGCGAAGGTAACAGATATAGAGATGTCGCGCACCCACTTGGGGCGTGCGCCCGAGCGGACAGCAGCCAATCCACGCCAATCTCCGAACACGGACCTGCACAAGCAGACCGCTCTGCTACCAACAGCGAGCAGGGCATCCTACTTGCAACAGTACACAGTACACATACACAATCTACATAGCACATACATAGGCAGGCATCTTCCTATTAGTAAACTCCCAGCAGCAGCGAGCCATGGCACAGCAGCGGGTTCACACGCGGCACAGCCGTGAGTGGCGATCGATGCCGGCGGCCGTGCCGGGGGTAAGGCGTGGCTACGCGTGGGGGCGTCCCATCATATAGATAGCGCTCCAGGTGTTTATGGTAGACAATGGAGTTGTCACAACGAACGGGGGGGGGGTTCCAGAGGTCCTGAGTACAACGAACGGGTGCAGGTGCTACTGCCGCCGTTGCCCGCTTTATGGTGCTGAGGCAAGCGAGGAAAGGCGAGCTCCCTACTCTGGACGCGTGGAATCATGGCGATTGAAGCAAGCCGCGGGGCGGCTTCCATAGAAAACAGCGGCAGCGGCATCGTTCGGTAACGTCGACGCCGTTCATTCCTGTTCGTAGGATGTCAGAATTCAAAATATCGTCATTCGAGGGGTTGTGGTCGATGGCCGAAGTCTGAGGAGGCGGCGTCCATCCGTCGTTGTACTCTCGAATCGGCTAGGATATGGCTGTGCATGTTTTAAGACGGACGGGTTGGTTGGTTGGTTGGTTGGTTGGGTGGGCGCGTGGAAACGGTAGGAAAATTTCGGGGATCCCTGTTTACAAAGATCGCGGCTTTGTACGAGGAATGAACTGATTGGCCCTCTGGTTGGACAACGGACTTGAACGTGTGATTGGGGAGGTTGAGCGGGGAGAGGATTCAGCCACGTACGAAAATTACGGAAAGAACCAGATACGTCTACGGAAAGCCCTCGGCGAGATGCTAAAACAAACGACTAGTTTCGGAGTTGGAACAATCTTGGTTGTGGAGTACAATCGAGCGTTGAAAATCGGGCTGGGGGGGTACCATCGTTCCGCCTCTGACGATACAGGCTATTGAGCTTTGAAGGGCTCCGGCAGCAGGAGTTGAACCTAGGCACTGGACAGATGACCCTCTCCGCACACCCAGCTCATATCCTGCCTGCCCCCCTTCGACGAAAAGAGGTGGCACGATAATCGAAAAACAAAACACTACTGCCTGAAATCGCTGCTAATGCCGGACTCTCATGCGTGGAAGACATGGGTTTGTTATGGACATGTGAGTGATTTTAAGCAAGGTCGGAGGCGATTCTTCCACCCGAGCAAATGCAAGGCACACCCAAACCTTTGATGAAAATAGGGGCGTACGAAGCGACATGCTCAAAGTATCCCCAGAATACGCAGAGCTCGGAGACGGCATTAACTACGGTGGATTGGGCAGCCTGAAGCAAGCAAGCAGCACACGCAGCCCTTGACTCTTCTCTCGGGCATAACCAGAACATGCCACCACATAAACCAGCATTGGAAGGAAATATTTCAATCCCAATTAGCGAGCGCAACGCACACAAGCCTTTACTTATTCGACGCTTAAAAAAACGATACGCCAGGATCTCTCCCCGTCGTACTCAGCGAACACGGCCCCACTGCTGTGGATCGCGTGGCGTGAACAAAACAAACAATACTACAGCCCTTGAATCCTTGTCATACCTCAAAAGTAAACCAATTCACTTATGAAATAACGTAAGAAACCACATGGATGTGATATGGACAGACAGACATTATCTGTACCGCCTAGATGCCGCCTAAATACTGTGAATAACAAACACTGATGAACACCGCCGGGCCTTGATGTAACCCGGTCAGCAACGATGCACTAACTAGAGCCAGACCACGTATAGCACATGCTCTGCTCATGGCCAACAATTTTCAACACGAATAAATATGAACTGCATACATCCAAGAACCAACACTCTCAAAGGGGCAACCCATAACGCAAACATGCTACACATCTGGGAGGATACCAATATATATATAATATGTCGATTCACAACTGAATGACAAAGACTCGTAACTCTTAACCTATGCGATGTACTGTTGGCTGCGTTCGACCGCAAGTATGAGCAGAGATCCGTGGCACATGAAAGCATGGACCACAGAGAACAACGGCGCAATAATGTTGTCGAGGTCAAGACAAACACACTGACGACGGTGGACGGGGATTTCAGGAGATAGAATACAAGGACAAGGGGACCAAAGCGCAAACTCTCAAGCCGGCCACTCGCAAGACGCTTGCGAAGCGAGTGAAAGACAGACACACGCAGTGCGCTCAACAAGCGATCCTCAAAGGGGACCCAAGGCGCACTGTCAAACGAAAAAACGTTACAGCAAACAAATATCGAAACTATCGAAACAAACGCAACAACTTTGCGCCAACCAATTCACCTCCAGCCTCCAGATCACGACGACCCCATGCAACGAACGGAACACCCAACCGATCACTCTGCTCCGACAAAAGACAAATGTTTTTTTCTGTGTCCCGGTCGAAGGCGGTCTGATGGGGGGAAAGGGGTGGTCGGCCGAGGAAGAAGGGGGGGGTGGGGAGGGGGGGATCTGCGCGTTCTACGTTGCGGTATTGTTCTGTTGCTTTCACAAAGGAGATCAACCACTGCCATTTCCGCTCGTCTCTCTCGCTGACAAGGCGTAGCATACTGCGCTTCTCTGAAATCACATACCAACTGATGAACTAGTTCACATCGGCTTCCCAAATCACACACATGCAGCTCAACCTTCGTGGCGAAAAGTTCTGCGGCTTGCTGCCGCGAAAGAGTAGCAGCCGAAACATTACGCGACCGAACATCTGACATGATACCCGACACACAGACGGCTCGATCAGCTCCTACCCCCTCCGCGACCAGCGGCAACCAGCACCCCACGTTCCGTCTTTTCCCGACTTACATCCCACCCCTCCTTCCTTCTTTACCCAAAGACGAAATACTCAAGGCGGACCTCGACCATGCTTGTCAACACAGCGCTTATGCCACGAACAAAAACAACAAATACTTCTACCTCGGAATTTGAGCTGACCAAAACCTAGAAAGGGTTAGTGTCTTCAGTTGGCGTCCAGTTTTCATATTTTTTTCGTTTTTTTTCTTTCGTCTTCACTTCAAATCATCAGCGTTCACAGCAATTGTGGCGCCGTTTGCTCCAGCCCGCGGTCTCACAGAAGGGTCTTTTGCGTCAATTTCTTCACAACGTGGCGCAGAACTCTTCTTCGAAGGAGAGATGGTGCCCGACGGCACTGGCCCTTCCCCTCGAAGCAGCCGAGAACGAGGGCGCTGCCGAGGCGAGGGCGGCGAGGCTGACATCTCCGGAGATGGTGTCATTCTCGGCGGTGACAACAACCGGGAGTGGAGATCAGCCGCTCTGGGGCACTGATGCTCCTGCCCGGCAACGGAGCAGGAGGCCTCAGGCTGAGAGGAAGGGCGGAACCGAAGACCGCCGACGCCGCGAGATTTGCCGGGGGCTCCTCCACGTCATTGGCTGCCAACACAAGAGCACCCGGTACCGGCTCGACGAGATTTGCCGGGGCCCCCTCCACATCATTGTCGCCCAGCGCCGGTGCGGGTGGATCGGGGCGTTCCCTCCTCTTCGCCTCCCACATTGCCCGCACCATCAGCACGAACATGATCCACCCGAGCTTCGCGCATCGCCCCAGCTGGCAGCCGGCGAGCAAGCAAGCAAAGGGGAGAGAAGAGAGAAGGATTGAAAAGGGGGAGAATGAGAAGAGTCGTCGCCGATGATGGTCAGGTCGGACTTCATTCACTGCATACCCTGGCACGAGAATATAAGAAAATAAGCACCGGCTTGTGTGCGGCATAAACCAACACACGAAGCCCTTCGCCTTGGCAAGTAATCATGCTCCGAGCGTGATTCCCGAAGGGATCACACGCGACGTCCTACGACCAAGATGCGGTACAATAGTACTCCGGATCTCCATCAAAGGATATCGAATGGGAACGGGGGGTGCCTCTACGGGCTACGCATGCCCCCTTCACATGAGACACATCCGGGCAGAAACCTGATCTTCCCTTTTGTCGGCATCATCCCATGCGGTGTACTGTTTCATTCCCGCGGCAGGTTTTTCACCGTCTCGCACATGAACTCGTCAAGAGTGCATGCCTCCTCTGTTCACATCACATGTATGCATCCGGTAGTTGGCAAATCTGTTTGGAAAGGTACCATCAACACGTGGTAGAGGTTTCGCACTCTCGCTGGGTGCGAAATGTGGAGTTTACACGTCGCGTAGATTAGAATTATCGTTCCATCTGCATGAAACTGTCGACGTTGTCTATATGCTAGGCATCCAGAGAGACCTCTGGCTAAGGAGGAGCAAACACCCATATAGGTGTGTGTGTGGGAGGGGGGGGGGGGGGTGAGTTGTCGCTGTTGTCTTCACAAATTTAACACCGTCCTGATATCTCTACTCAGTACGTTCATCATCTGTCCGTACTGATGAAACACTTGACCAAGCGATTCCCGTGGTCACAGGCCAACTTACCTTAAAAAGGTACTACAGTACTCAAACAAGATGGACCCGAAGGAGTACGAGAAAAAAAAAAAAAAAACGGGTGTCAAGAGATCATCTACGCGGAACACTGTGTATTGTCCACACACACGCGACGGAAAGGGTGAACGGGGAATCCAAGGTGCACACCCCAAACCCTTACCCAGAAAAGTGAAAGCACGACACCGAGCACTGCTAAAACAACAATAATCGAAGCACTTACCCATGGAACCACCGTCGATATACCTTAGACCTTCAACTACTGTGACTACAGACAAGCGGGTAGCATATCCGTGTTGAAAGCGATTTACACGAAAGGCCACAACCAAAATCATTGGTCAAAACTAGAGTTAGAGTTAGGGCCATTTTTTGCAGCAGCTATTTCTCTTCCAAACTTTCAAATTTTCAAATTTTCAAATCCGCAGACTGTTGAACCTTGATTGAAGGCCGAGGGAACCTCTTGGAATTTGGAAATTTTGGGATTACTGGCACCGAAAAATATGGAAATCTGCAAAGTCGGAATTTAAAAGTCGGAATTTGGAAACTTGGAAATTTGGGTGGAAAAGCGCCATGTATGCATGCATAACGTCCCTTAGGGGTTGGGTGACCCGAACTCACAAAATACGCCAATAGGCACGTCGCCATCCAGGCGAACAGCTGCAAAGAAGTTTCGTCTTGGATGTCCCCCTGGCAGCCGATGTTGTCCCCGGATACGGGAGCCTCGACTGTCGAACCAAACAAGAGCCAACCCACCATTGCGCGTCACGCGATGGGTTGGTATATATATATATATATATGTTTCCTGCTGACTTGTTGAACGGCACGGATTAATCCACCTCACTCTCTCTCATTTCGTCCAAAATACATAATTAAAAGAGGATGTGAATCAGTGTTGATGTACATGCAGTCCCATCGGCATCATATGATTGAGGGTGACTACGCCGATGACGGCAATGACGTCATAGGTAGGTGCGCAATTGGGGAAACAAACAGTACAATTGCGGTAGTGCTCTGGACAGCGACAAGGTGTTTCTGAGTCGTCGGGTGCACTGCCATGTCAATGGTTAAATACTACGTAAATCATCTACCGCAATCCATACATGTTCGGAACAATATGATGCCATTTTTTCCAGACGAAACGATATTCACGACGATGATGCTCTGATTCACATGCAAGGGGAGGGGAAAGAGAAAAACAAATGGGAAAGAATCACGCTCCACGAAGCAAGTGCACGGAACGAAAAGGGATACGCCATTTGAGTAGCCTATGACCGTTGATGCTGCCGTAAGTGTATTTCGCATGAAATGGCTATGGACCTCTTCCCGCTGTGTCCACATCGGCCCTTCCGTGCGATATACTCTTGATGACAACGGGAGAATGTTTTTGTTGGTCGCAGGCTTGGCTTGGAGTATACCCGCCAAACAAATTAAATCAACATCGTCAGATAGTGAGTCATCGCACGGTACGGAGTTATCGCACCCCTACGCATTGAAAATGAAATGGCGAAATGAAAAAAACAAACTACCGCACGGGGGCGCCATGACTCGCAATCGTTATGGTAGGTATGTGTCCTCTCTCGTTTGTGGGGTGCAGTAGAATATTGCAGTGTTAATTCTTCAGCCAGACAAAATGAAGCAACACGTCGAAGCCAACTTCACATACCATGGAATCAGTATGTTGAGAAACACAATCCACCACTAGAGAAGATGAGAGTACCGCTCTCTGACTCCGAAACCACGTGAAGTATCCAGAAATAATTCTTGCGAAAACCGGAAGGAAATGATTCTCACCAGCACCGGGACAAGCAGCGGCAGCGCCGGAGGTCGACCACGACGGAGGTTGATGATAGGCTTCCTCGCTGTACCGTTTGGAAATTTGACGCCATTCGTTGTATCATCGGGTGGGAAAAGGAGCGCCGGGATGGGGTGAGGTTCTTGCAAGCTGCAGACAGACGCAGCAACAAACCGTTGTTTTTTTTTCGCAATCGTCGATGGTGTCGTTGTATACGTCTATCTATCTGTCTATGAAGCAATCGATGGTTTTTGGTATTATTATTTTTCAGTTTTTTTAGGACGAAATATATTATCTTAGGGACGTACATGGCCGTGCCCGCAAGGGCAAGGGGGGAGCAAACGATTTTGCTGATGATGGTGTCGCTAAGTAATTGCCATCCCTGTAAACCCCCCCCCCCCCCATCTTCAACTGGAATCCCCCACAGGTAAGAACTAGAGAGTCCATCTTTCATGTTCCAAGGGCTTACAAATATTAATATTACTGCAACCAAACCTGGGTACCTCCACAGAGCCCGGAGGGGGGTACTCTAAAACCAAGTGAAGAGTGAGAGATCATCTATCATGATAGATAGTGCTTTCATTTTTCTTTGGATCGACAGAAGGACTACAGTAGTTCACTGTTCTTTCTGCAAGCCTCGCACATCTCTCTTGAGAAGGTATCGGTATTCGACAGCGAAAGGGACGGAAGTCTGTCCGCGTACAGAACGCGCCCGCGCTAAATGACCCAGAAGCTAAGAATTTGAGCCTTACAAAAATCAAGGTATATGAACTTTGAGCACCATGTGTGACCTTGGTAAAGAACACCTCCACCAAACCCTAGGTGTCGGTCATTCGCAGCATGACCCTAAACCCTACCTTGACCCTAGGAACTACATAGAACCTCAACCTCGGCCAAAACTAGAGGTTCTTAACTGCGGGCGCGTTTGTGTTACGGTTAGCGTCAGGTTGAAGGTTCGGATGATGTACCTGGGGTGGTGGTGATGGTGGGCCTGATACGGGCTCTTTCCGTTGGCGGCCTCCCACGTGCCACCAGTCGGTGGCGATGATGTCCACAGGAAAAGGCAGCTTGCGATGAGGCAGGAAAATGCCACGAGGAGGCCACGAATGAACCAGCTACTTGCCGTCCCTTTGCTCGGCATGGTGATCAGTATCCTGCTTATTATTTAAGCACGCGGAGCGGGACGAGCACAGGCACAGAAAAAGGTTGAGACTCTGATGGTAATCATTCTGAGTAGGAAAATGATTTGGCTCTCGCCATACTGGAAGAGTGAGGAGACCAACAGCATGAAGATATTTATGGACGGCGATTTTCCTCAGCACAGTGCACCAGCAGAACTCCCTTATCTCCGCGATCTGCTTGACAGATCGTACAGAATACGGCATATAATATCAGTGCGCACGCTGGCATTCTATGTACAAAGGGTGGTTTTATGTCTATCTCCGAACTGCAACCTATCATTTACAAAGATCTACAAGCCGATATGGGGCATGGCGCTGCACCTAATCCATCCCTTGGGACAGGGTCGGGTGGTCTTCCGATTCTCCTACAGCATTGCAAAAACAGGAGCTCCCGAGGCACTTGAAAGGTGGAGTGGCATCGAAAGGAAGAAAGCATCCGGCCGCGGTGAAAATACTTTTTTTTTCGCCATGTGGAACTAGCTTCACCGGTTTATTGGCACGCGCAACATTCGGAACACAATATGATGGCGAAAAAACGGTACAGCGTATGCATACGGCGTACGCGAATGTGTGTAGCTCGTCCACCGCAAAACTTCCAGCAGAGGAGCTAAAGATCAACCATCCACGCGGTGGTCATGTGCTCAAGACACACACCCGGTTCATTATCCCGCAGTGATGCTCATCAATAAATGAACGACAACACAGACGGTACAATATACACCCGGTTGCAACCAACAGACGATGAAGACACAGCGGGAGAAAACTTTGGGCCGGTTCTATCTTTTTCGCCCTGAGAAGGTGCCCTCCACCGAGGTGTTGGTTGGCCACAGCCGCAGCGGTCGCACCCCTGTTGTCCCCGGGCCTGCGTAGCTGGGACGACCAACAGTAAACCATCACCTACACACCCGCAACAAATGCTACCGGACTCCAAGCAAGGCGGGTCCCCTTCCAACAAACAGGGGTGCGTTCGTAACGGGTGGATCTTTCGCGGCTCGGGCATGTATATCTTCTTTTTGTCCCTTGAACTAACGCAACATATCCCCTCTTCTTTCTCCTTGTTGATAAATGGTCCAGGATTAGGGATGAGTTCATAGCGTTAGCGGAGCACTACCGTCTGCGTCTCTACGATTGCCCGAGCAGCATGCAGCGACATCCCCCCTGTGGGCAACAGGCTCTACAAGGTTCGTTTTGGTGGCAATCTTGTGCAGTTTCGATCACGCCCCAAATAAATTTCCTTCTTAAAGAAAGCGCAACGACCCGAGGATGTGGCGAAGGAGCTGGGGTCACGAACAACCACGGGAAACCATCTACGGCAGGCATTGCAACCGGTGGGCCCCACAGCAAGAGCACCAAGGACAGCTAGCCGGTTGCGGGTCCACTCTCTCGCCCAGCACGTAGCTTGCCGCAAGCAGCAGGGTAGGTACAGTAGGCGGTGACAGAACCCGGCGAAAGGCCTACATAGTGAAAAGGTTTAGCGGTAAAAGCCACAGACCAGCATCGGGATATACAGCATGTTGTGCTTGTTCGCACAACCCCCGCATGAATGAAACTGCTGTGCATGATGATTGCTCGGGGCAAGAATTTGCATACTACTTGCAGGGATGATGACGAACGGCAAGCCATGCAACGGGTGGGTGAAACCGACCACCAATTGGGGTCCTTCTTTCACCCTTCACACCACGTTCGGCTGTGATGGGCTTCATTATGTGGAGCAAGTCAGCGTTTCTGTATATTGTTCTGTGTTTCAGAGGTTTTGACCCCGGCAGCAGCGGCTATTTAGTATTGTATGTATTGCTGCTGGACACAGCCGTGGTGAAGAATTGGAAGATGCACTTTTGAGTTCTCGAAGGCGGTCCTTCGCGAAAGACACTACGCCCTCCCGAGAGACACCTTTCTACACTTCATGCCTCTCTCTCAAGCACGCCTGTTCCCGCGCTTTCTGCCTTCCGCCCTAAGCGTGCTTCTCGATATCTCGCCTCGCGCCCTCTCGCTCTATTTTGCTGCTGGAGAAATGCACCCCGCCGCGGCTGATGCCGTTATGTATTCAAAGCTTGATGTTCATCTATCTTCAACCAAACGCCTGCAACAGACCACCATCTTGCCACAGGCACTCTCTCACCTCTATCTGCTGGTATGAGTGTGGTGCTGCAGGCTCGCCCTTTCCTATCTCAGCCGTTCTCTATGCACCCGCGTGCAGCTGTCGCTCGTAGATGTGCGCGCAGTGGGCAGGAGCAGCAGCGGGCGGGAACCAGAACCGGCGTAATACAATGGTTGCACGTACATAGGGTCGGGCTGGTGTGCCTGTGGCAGAGCGAGCAAGGATTTGGAAACGGACATTTCGAGTGATATATTCCCCGATCGAGCGGTGGCACGGAGAGGAGGGACGTGGAGCCCTGTCAATGCCTTTCCCACAGAGGTTCGACGACTCGTACCGACAGCACACGCTTGAGGAGCAATGAACATGTTTACCATTTTTGGAGAATCAGCATCAACACACCGACCGGCAATTATTTGTCACCGGCTTTATGTTCCCTTATTGTCTGTCCGTCAATTGTTTTTTTTTTTCTCACTGCACCCGCCGCGTGCGCGCCCACAGCAGGGACGCTGTCGCACCAGTACCACACGGCTCTTGTCTTCCTACCCTATCAAGGAGCTCTGGTGGCCAAGATGACCACGACACCAAATGTAGGGGGTGGAAAGCCTCTGTCTTGATTTATGAGTTGACTATTTTGCCTATTGTAGACTAACGCTACTTGTTGTACATACCGCCATGAGACAGATAACACCCCTTATTGTGGATGAATTTTCGACCAACCTTGGATCAGCGGTACCGACAATAAATGGTGGCGTTGGAACCGTCTGGTCACGAGCTTTCCAACAGACGTAAGGTGTGCTCGCATATCCCATTCATTGGTCGTGGAGCAATCGAGCTTGGAAAATTGGTCGCGGGGGTGTGGTATCTTGCGTAAATGCACATGTAGATATTCATGTATACATCCGGGGGCAGCGGGCAATGCCTGACCAAGAGAACGGTTGATAGGTAAACAGTGAAGAGGACTGGCGAAGAGTGGGACCATGGAACCAATGGTTGGAGCCATGAGTTGAGAAACACACAGAACATACAGAGAGGGAGGGAGGGAGAGGGAGAGAGAGAGAGAGAGAGAGAGAGAGAGAGAGAGGCGCCCTCCGGCGCGCCACAGCTCTCTGCGCGAAGAAAGTTAAAGGTCTCTGTGGCCATCGACCAATGAATGACGTGTACAGACGCCTTCAGGTTTGAACATGGCCCACCGTGGGACTCCATGGCACATTGTGGGCGTCCATGGCACTTCATGGATACTCCATGGCATTTGCACAATGATGTCAACGGTTGAGATCGGCGGTGGAGCGGTACGACAGTGACACCGGGATGACTCATGAAATCATGAAATGTACATCGTTCTGAGCGGGTCGTGGTTTGTCTACCGTGTAAAACACCCAACCTGCCACATCAGTTAGTTCCGGGTGAACCACATACCTCATATATGCATGCTGCCGGTGGTGTTTCTCTCTCATCCACAGTAGGTGACGCGTTGGGTGGAATGAAGTTCTTGGCATCCGAGCAGGCATGCATGCATCCGAACAACGCCCGTTGACGCGACAATGAACGTTCGCGAAGGAATACGAATCGTGCGAAGCGATGTTCGATGAACGACAGCATATCGACAGAGCGTCGGGTGATGCTCTTACAGTACAGTAGTGAGTCTTGCGGGGGTGTTGGATACAGTGGATAAACTACGGATGGATTGCATCTAGACTATTATTGAACGTGTCATCGTGAAGAAGAGCTAGCTGGCGAAGATGGTGTCCCTTCGTCGCAGATGCGGCGTGACCGCCGCCGCCTCTTACGCTTGTTCTGTAATCGTGATGTCATCGCGAAAAAAGTACGTTGTTTCCTTCCCTGAATACACGTTTTGCTCGACACACAACAGGTTGTCATGGTATTGCTCACCATAGAGCAGCGGTGAAAGCGCAATGAGCAGCACCCGACACAGAGGACAACACACTTAGAAAGATCCCGTCCACCTGGCCTGCTGTTTTCAGTTTTCAGCAACAACAGGCGCAGGGCATAGTGTCGCCACCTGGGTGTTGCTTGCGATTTCTTCAGTTTGCCAGCTCATTTTTCACGGTTGCGACTCCCATCTTTGACCACCACCTGCCCAGAGGTAGACGAGCTCAACAATCATAGGGCAGCAGCCGCACTGACGGCCAGCATCATATAGATGGCCAATCCGAAAGAATTAGCGTGTCGGAGGCCCTGTTGCTCTACTACTGCTGCGTGGTGCCGTGGATTGATGTTGATGCGTCCGACCAAAAACGCATCATCTCGCCGCATTTTTTCCAACGGCATTTTGGTGAGGTGGCACACGTCTCTCACACACTTTATTGAGCAGCACCCAAGCACCCAATACCCACAAAGCAGCACGGCCCCGGGAGATGGTATCGTATGGACACAGCCGAACCGAAGGGATCATCAGTCAGTGCGTTGGAGGTCTTGGTGCTGCTGCTGTACTCGTTCTACTGTTTCCGTGTTTGCTATGTGTGATTGAAAAAATCCCCCAGCACCAACAGCAGCAGTTGAAGACGAGAGCACCACGCAATGCCTAGTTTTGGGCCAAGAACGGACTGAACGCTGCTTCTGCCGCTTGTCCATCTCCACAACAGACCTGTGTTAAGGAGGACCCGATTCGCAGGGTGTCTGTCGATTGACTTTTACCAGAATCGGTACACCTTCGCATATGGCGTCAGCAGGATATATATGGTTCGAATCTCCTTGGGTGCACGTTTTTTCTCCTGACTGACTCGGATTTCCCATGGACACCATGTGTGTCAGTCCTGAGAACACCTCTTGGAATCGATCCTACAAAGAACCTTGTGGCACTTCCATCGAATTACCCGTCCTGGCCACAAGAGGTTGCCAGTTGAGGGTAAATTCTGTGGGTGGAGAGTGTTAAGGAGGACCCGATTCGCAGGGTATCCGTCGATTGACTTTTACCAGAATCGGTACACCTTCGCACCTACCTGGACGTGAGTCTGGCAGGTCTTTCTAGCGTTCTCAGTGATGTTACAGCGCCTGCGGTGCGCTTGTCCGATGCTTCTGTCAAAAACACGGATTCGTGAAAGTAGCAAGCCCCAAAAAAACCAGCTGAAAAAAACCCGGCTCCATCTTTTCACGCTTTCGGGGAAAAACGCCTCCATATATGTTCAAGAAAACACGGTTTCATTTTTTTTTTCGTGTTTTATTGGTCGATAAGAATGACCTTTTTTAGGCTGTAGGGCAAACACGGGAACACGGAAGCATCCGACTGCTTGGCGCTGCCGTTCATTTGCCCTTAGCGTCGGGATTCATCCACTACGTCCCATCGTAGTGTTCGGTGCAGATACGCGCGAAGCCACCGTACCAGGAAAATCTCTGTGCGTGTGATGTTATCGTGGCCGTGGCATCGGGACGTTGGTATCGCGCCGCCCCCTGGGTCACCGCGTGGGCGTACGCTAAAAAGCAAGTACCAACAGCGGCAGATTTTCGAAGTTCGCACCGGGGATTGGTGTTGTCGCACCGGGTACAAATTACTGTAGACCCTGTAAACGGTATTGATACACATGGTACTGTAGTATGTAAATTCGGTGAGGGTTTTGTCTATGAACAATGAGTCAGTGACGTACAGTCTAAATGTGGTGTTGCGTGTGCATGGGTGTAGAGCCTTGAAAATCTGAGTACTGTACTGTTGTAGTTCAGCGGCAAACGTGAGCTCGATCAAAGGACAACAACAACCCGAAAGGGCGCACCCACCAATGAATCTGGACAAAGCTTCGCATAATAAGGCTGTGGTACGCAAGACCGAGGTTGTCTGGATCTGTGGCGACGATAGTTGCTGGTCTGTGGAGGACGGGATACGGTGCTGCCAGAGTTGCAAGATATTGTTCTGGAGGGAAGGCTTCTGCAGACTGACCACTTGCGTGGAGGTCATCGTGAAATGCATAGGTAGGTGTGCCGCAAGACCCGAGATACAACGAACCAATGTGTCTGATACGGGATGTCAACGACGATGTACCAACATGAGAAATGGTGCACGACGTGGAAGGTACGAGGAGAACGGAGGTTGCACATAGGATACGCCTGCGTTCGTCGTTGGCACATGGCTCTCACGCCCAAGAATAATCCGTTGTCAGCCTTATTCTAGACGTGTTGGCGACGAGGTACTACTGTAGGCGTGCTTGTACGTTCGCACGACGCTTGTTGCACTCGCTCATTTCACACTCGCTCATTCCAAAATGATTTTAGCATCGACAACCGCCGGCCACCCAAACCCTGCTGGGTGGGTGACTTATTCGAAATCCACCAATAATAACTGTAACTCTCTCTCTACCCCGAGGCGAAACAAACGAAGGGTGGTCGGCTCGGAGCACCCGCCGTTGTGCCAGCGTTTCGTTGCTCGAGAGATGATCCGGTCAAGCTTTTGTAGCGAAGGAGTTCTTAATCTGCCAGCAACGAGAGCCCTCGAAACGGTCGGCGCCACCAACGCGGCATCCCACGCTCATAAAACTCCCCATTGGACAAAACTCCACATGTAGCAATGGATACCGGGGCCGTTCGCAGCAAGCATCACAGGGTGTGTGACGACCACAAGTATCGCACAACCCGGAAATGCCCGAGGACCACTAGAAAGGAGGAACTCACGCAAAAACACGAGATAACAGACACACCGCGGATGATTAACAACTCATCATGTGTTGGCATTCAGAGGTACATCCGACCACATCGTACGAAGCATTTCGCCACGGCACATCAGAACAACAACTACGATACGCATTTGCTACAACTATATCTTGCAACCCACCATACATACAGTACACAAGCACATACATTGAAAAGACCTCCTGCTAGATTCACGTGCTGTCATGCCTACAGACGCTTGGCGCTTTGCCACCCTAAAAATACTGGCGCTTTGCCCCCCTAATTCGTAAAGCTAAATAAAATATTAACGGCTTCTGAGCTGATGGCTGGCGTCCCGGTGTCTGGTAGACTGCAGCCTGGACTCAAGTACGGCACTGAGCAACTCTCGACACTATGGAATATGAAAACAGTTGTTTCCTACCCTCGGCAAGCACCTCCGACAAAGTAAAGGCACCAGCGAGCACCAACGATGTCATGTGGTCACTCGCCATATTGGAACGCACAAATGGAAACGATAAATTATGTACAGCGAGTACCAACATCAGTAAACACGAACGACTGACCTCGCCGTTGTTCTAATATTGGCATCAACATAGGCCGCCAAAGGACGTTGTAACAAAAATAGCACATCACAAATTGCCCATCTTGTTGTTCTTCGACCCCCGAAGGTTTCCGTATGAGACAAAAAAAAACTCCCATTCGAACAGGGCATGCAAGTCCTGAGCATTGAGTCGCCTGGACTCGGATTAAATCCGATGCACCTGCCTTTTCTCATCCATCCAAGCAGTCACAGCGCGAGATAGCCGAGCGTACGCGGCTTTGTCAAGCTTGCCGAAAATCCGGTTGATTCCGAAGAAAAGCGCGGGCATCTGCGGGATTCGAAGCAGCATCGGATGCGCCGGAGAAAAATATAAGCTCGGACTATGATACATGCCATATGAGCCTGTTCTATCGCCATCGATGGTCCTGCCTCTTTGCTTTGCACATCAAGCGCGGACGGCAGCAACAGAGCAAGCGTGCAGAAGCCGAGATAAAGCATCAGTACAAGCACTCTCTACCATTCGGACTGAAAAACAGTCCACGTTGAAGCATATGGGTATTCTCTACCCAAGAGAGCATTCACTCACCATCAGCAACACCGCAAACTGAACAGGGTGCGGCAGGTCGTACCACATGCACTTGAACCCCGACTGGAACTCAACCAGCTCTGCAACGGCACAGCAAACTCGCAGGTGAAGGAGCCGCGAACTCATGCATGCATGGCGTTGCTCGATATTAGCGAGAAACACACAGACGATCGCGCGCACACACACACAGTGAGACTGGCCCCTTTAAAGTAGGCAGCCGGTTAGTGCGGTCGATGTTAACAGCACAACAAAATACACAAAACCTAAGTAGCGTCTGCAGTCTGTAAATGGCGTTCCCCTGCAGTACATCCGCCCCAAACATACCAGGAATATACTGGCGTTCAGAAGTGACACTGATAAACCACACACACAACCGAGGTCCCCTGTCCGTAAAAAAAAGCGCTCATGGCACGTGCTTAGACCAACGGGGGCCGATTCCTATAAACCGCACGGGTGCGTCACTTACTGCTTTCCGCGACTCCCACGACCATGGCTGATATCACCAACACCAGGAAGTGACGGCCGTGGGATCCACTGGTGATACAAACGCGCGGGTACGGAGGACTCAAGCTCAACCGCGAGAAAAACAAGACCCAGCCACTACATTGACGGATATTTCTCTACATTGAGCGGGTATCTCTCGTTTTAGCGACACCATGCCGGCAGGCAAAACGGAGCTGCTGTACGAAAGCGGTGGGCATGTAGCGAGGGTGTGGATACCCTCGCGGATACAGAGAGACCTCACGTCAACCACTAGAAGAGTACACAGGACTCGGCCAGCGCGCACTACATTGAGCGGGAATCTGTCGTTTACCGACACCCCTGGCGGCAGGGGGAACGAAGGTACTGTACGAAGGCGGTCGGCAAGTAGCGAGGGTGAATAGAACCTCGGAGGACCTCAAGCCGTCAGGTCTCAAAACACAACAACAGCTACGTGTGTCATACGGCTGCGCTCAAGCACCATTGCCTGGTGTGTGATGACGACCAACGCCAAAATTCGGAACCATGCTAGCCAGATGAGAGTGTCTTCAAAGCGGTCGCCTCCCTCAAGACAAGTCTCGACGCTACAAAGGGAAACGCATGCGAGAGCGGAGGACTTCGACACCAAACACAAAGAAAGCTCGTCAACAAGCCCCCCTGCCCTCCTCTCAAACACCCACAATTCCCGCTATGCGGTGGAATGCAACATGTCCACGCATTATAGGTAACTCAAATCTGCATCCAGGCTCCTATTCTTTGCCACGGCATTCAAGTGCATATACACATGCAATGTTCCCGCGCGCGCTTCCCAGGTGCAAACGTGTCAATCGTGTCACTCCACTGCGAATCTGGCTTGAGCGTGTACCTTTGTTGGAAACCGGCACCTCTCTTGAGGGCCTTTGGGGTCTGCCGGTAGATCTTCGAATGGCCAGGGGCTTGGGCTAAAGTCAGTGGGCGACCAACGTCCTGGGAACCTAGCATCACCATTTCTGATGGCAGTGCAGGCTGCGCTCGTTTCCACAGCGACGATCGTTTGCTGCCAGTACAAACCTGGGAATCAAAGCAGGTTGCCGAGAGGGGCATGGTGGAAAATGAAGACACACAGGGGCGGAAAATCCACCGAACCTTTACAAACACGCCTTTCCGAGACGAGCGAGACGCTTGCGGCTGGATCACCTGACGGGTACATACACGCCCATGCGAGAGGATCAACAGCTAAAAAGGTCTGGGTGATTGGTGTTAGAACGGAAATCATACTATAAGTCAGCGTGCAGCGAAACCACTCTTTTGCACAGGGAGAAACGATGCGCCCATAATCGCTAATCCACTTTGCTCTCCACTGCTAAGGGGCTCTTGTGAATTTCTTGCAATTGTCGGGGGAAGGCTGGTGGAAGCCTGCGACGCCATTTCGCCCACCGTCGCCATGATACATGGAAGGAACTGGAATATATAAATCACTGCCGTGGAGAGGTCTCTTTCTTGAAGTAAGCGTCCAACCTCTCGCTGTTGCTTGCAGCTAGACAAGGATCGAGCGGCATATTACCAGTAGGCACAAAGCAGGTCACTCGACAAGGGTTGTCTGTTTCCCCTCACAAGACTCAGGACCATCGCAACACATTCGAGGCAGCACGCCCGTACACTGCTTATCGGCCTATCCGCAACAGCACTCCTACTACAGCTAGCTTCTTCTTGTGGAGAGGCTGGAGACCAAACGAGAAGGTGTCGGATGGCAAACGACGACTTCGAACTGGACGCGTGCGATGATTTGCGGTGGTGCCCAGCAGAGCGAGACATTGGTCGGGGGGTTGGCTACGGTATGCTAGGTCTAACGCGCAGGCTTAACCCAAGGTTTGGGTGCCTAAGAAGCCGATGTCTAGCACTTCCTTCCCTCAATATTATGCTCTTGCTTGTGACCATGTGCGTTGCATGTCTAAACCTAGCGTGCTTTCTTCACCTAAAAAACAAGGCGAAACACAGGACGTGTGTTCGCGCGAATGCGAATAGAGATGGGTTCGCCGAGTTTTCCAAGGGTCTGCCATAACGTTACACGTTCGCACGGAAATTGAACACCCAACGTAGATGACCCTATTGACCAAATGGTCAAAATGGCTTGCGCCGTTGCAACTCTATTTAGCCACACCAAAATACCGAATCGAGGTTCACCAGCACCCAAACGCAGCGGAAGACCTACAATATAACTTGGCAACTTTTGTTTGGACTGCATCTCTGCCAAACCGGCCGTTGGCTTTAGACATCGCGCGTTTTTTAAAGCAACCCCCACAGCAACCGATCTAGTACGAAAAATTGACATGCTCACAGAACCATTGCCAAACGCCATATTCTAGCAGCGAACAGCGGCCGTGGTGCGCGTGGATGCCGCACGGTCAGTGCCACATGCGGTCCAGTCAGGGGCAACTCCAACACGAGAGGTTGTTCGGGGCACTCGCACTAAATACAGCACGGATCTACGGAGATTCTGGGAGTTGTGTGTGGATTTGTGTTGGTAGGGAACATAAGAGACGGGGCCCCCAGCAAGGCTCCACGCTCTCTCTCGCCGCTCCTTCCTGTTCCTACCTCTCTGAGTATATATCAATCGTTGTCCTGGGGTTAGATCGGGTTTGGGGGCGGACAGCGTGTGGTCAGAAGCGCGGAGAGAAAGGTTGATCCCAGAACTTTGATACATGCCTGGTTTTAAAGACAGAGTAGAGCGGGTGAGGGAGACAGCGAGGATGCTTGCCGGCGGCCCAGCCGCCCAACTTCCCTGGGCCACCACATACACGCGTCCCACGTAACCTCCGTGATACCTGCCGACCAAAATCGAGTGCCGAATACCCCCAAAAAGAGGAGGGGGGTGCAAACCGGGCGCAGTCCCAACTCGGGCACTTCAATTTTTGGCACATCAACGACTTTTGCCGCTGATTTTTGCTCCGTACATCTCGTAAGTCCAGCTTTCCCGGGCAAATAACTTCATCGCGTTTTCCCTATCAACCCGTCACCGGGTGTGCCCCCCGCGTTTTTCGGGCGCCCCTGGTCGGGCGACTATCTTTTATGCACCCGTTAAAACGGATCCTAAAAGGAAACAACGCTTGAAGAGGAGAACGCGAAAATCATCCGCAAGCTACAGGGTCAGAGGGGAGGTCACGAGGGCACCAACTTCTGAATCACCGCCGCCGTGCGACCATTGTAGTTCACGGAGAACAAGACAAAACGAAAAAACCATGGACACTTTTCTCTTGTTGCGACGCCGCCGGGCGCGTCACACATACGCACAGGCCGTGGCGGTGCCGAAAATGGAGGCGTTAGGACCGTATCGCCGAGATGCTTCGAAACGTCTGCCTTTCCTGTTGGCATCCTTTCTCTTCGTGGAGTAACTGGTCTTCGAAAATTGGTCCAGGCGGTGTAGCATCTTAGGCTGAGTCTTACGGCGTGATTATTTCGGAGATTGGTTTTTTCTCTCGTTCGGGGGGGGGTGGCCTGCACGGAAAAAATGATCAAGATCCAAACGACCGTCTTACGGTTCCTCGAGGTATATTTCTTTCTGAAGGGAAAAAAGAGGCTGATTCATGTTCTTGTGAGTCACAACATGCTTCAGTACACGGTTTTGGCTCGTGTGTGATCAACAAGACACCGAGCGCCTGTTTATGGGTCGCCTGTAGAGGGCATGTGTGTCATCGCACGCCAGTGGCTGTAGTTGTTGATGTCGCCGGCCAAAGGCCTCTCTCTGATGGCCTGCGTTGTACACTGATCACACTCGACTCGGAGCAAGGGCAGAAAAAAGAGCAACGACCAAAAAAGGCAGCACCGAACCACACCTCGATTCACGTTTGCTGGCCGTGTGCAATCAAAACTGGACAATGCGCTCTGTTCCTGGGACGCGAGCAGAGGGTACGTGTATGACCACACGCCACTGGCTGCTGTTTGTGGATGTCGTCGGCCAAAGGCCTCTCTCTGGCATGCGTTTTTGACTGGTCGCGGGTAACACACGAAGCAAACACGCGGCGGAACAAGCAAAAATGCCAAAAAGTCAACACCGCAACACACTTTGGTTCACGTTTGCAGGCCGTGTGCAATCAAAACTGGACAATACGCTCTATTTCTGGTACGCGAGCAGAGGGTATGAGTATGAACACACGCCGTTGGCTGCAGTTTGTGGATGTCGACGGCTTAAGGCCTCTCTCTGGCATGCGTTTTGAACTGGTCACACATGCAGCAGGCTCAAAAACGGCTCTTTTCGGCCCAAAGGCAAGGACGTCAGCAGAGCAATGTGGCAGGGTTGACGTTTTCGGCTCGTTTGCGGCCAACACGACGCAGAACCCCCTGAATTTTAGATACTGTACCTGCAAAGGGCTTGTGTATGACCTCATGATACTGGCCTCTGTTTGGACAGCAGACGGTGTAGTTCCTCGTTCTGGCACGATCGGGGTGTGACCAGGGGGTATACCCCCCCCCATTTCTAACAGCGGTATTCCAACAGGATCGCTGTTGGAAAATGGGCCAATTTTCTAACAGGCCGGCCGGAATCGTTGTTGGAAACTGCCCTGTTGGATTCTGGGCTGTTGGAAATTGCCATATTCCTACCCGTAAGACCCCGATTTATGGGAACAAAATCTTGTCGATAAATCTTGATCTTGGCCAAGATCTGCCAGTTTCACGATTTATGGGAGCGAAATCTTCCGATATATCTTGGCCAAGATTTCTCGAGGCCCGAAATCTGCCCTTTCGAACAAATCTTGACCCAAGATCTGTCGAAACGAGCCTTCTGACAAATCTTGAGGCGGCGTAACAGGTCTTGCCTCAGTGCGGCACGATCACCGAAGGTCAGTCAACCTAATCGTCCATAACGCCATGAAATCTGCACGTGGCTCACTCGCAAGGGTCTCTAACGCACCCTGGCGTCACTGTGGCGCCGACAGCGAACGAAAACAACCAAGGCGCGCGAAAAAAATGCGTATTTGCCCTGGCTCGTTCCACGTGCGTCATCACCAGTCTGTCGAGGGGCCGTTCAAAGAGTACTTTATTTTGAAGTAGAAAAATAGAGCAGGAGGAACGTTTTGCCTACACTGCTCTGTCGTGTGAGACGCTTCTATCTCTTCATCGAATCACCCCACACCCAACCCGTTTGCACCCGAGCCAAATCCGTGGGTGCGGATGACAGCGCCGGAGGTTTGACCTCGGTACGCCTGCTACATCGTGAGATACGTGCATGGGTGTCATCGGCCTCGGGTTGATGCACTTTCTTGTCAGTTGGACAGCAATGGAACAGTTTTGTTTCTCCGCTTGACATGAGCTCGTGGGCAACGGATTCAATTTTGCACCCCAGGTAGGCGCCCATCGCTAGTATCCACCCACAGTGTTGAGGCAATACAGCTGGGGGAGGGATGCCCCTTCTACAACTGCGTCATGCTCACTTTTCGCCACACCTTGGCATTTTCTGTGGACCAAGTGGCCGTTGTGCCGTTTTCAACTTCAAGCAGAAGAGAGGAACAACACGCCGCTTTTTCAACATTCAAGATATTTCCCCCATAAATCGCGATACTGCAAATCTTCGTGGAGATATATTGTGAGCAAATCTTGGGTCAAAATGCCAAGATATAATTGCAAGATTATGTTTCCATGAAGAAGGGCCTAAGACGCCCAAATTATTTTTTTGGCTAAGAAAAGGACCCCCCCCCAAAATCCAATCCGGAAATAATCACGCCGTAAGGGTCGTTCTTATCGACCAATAAAACACGAAAAAAAAAACGAAACCGTGTTTTCTTGAACATATATGGAGGCGTTTTTCCCGAAAGCGTGAAAAGAAGGAGCCGGGCTTTAAAGGCGATTTTTTACTGGTGGTGCACGTTCCGTCGGTATTGGACATACATAGAGAAAAGAGAGGGGGAAATGTCCAATACCGACAGCAACACTCTTTGACGTGTTAGAGACCTCACAGCTGCCACAGACACAGCCGCTACAGAACAGTCACCACGCCAGCAATGAAGAGTGTTAGCAGCTGGTTGCTGCTGCCGCAACAACAGCGACGCAGAGCAGAGAAGAGAGAGACAGAGCAGAGAGAGAGAGAGAGAGAGAGAGAGAGAGAGAGAGAGAGAGAGAGAGAGAGAGAGAGAGCGTACGCCGCCCACCAGAGAGCCTCGAAGCTGACAGCTGATGACAGAGAGAGAGAGCATAGAGGGTGCGCCCCCCGGCAAAACAGAGAGTCTGGCAGCCGAATGAACCCTTTCAGACCAATACACACGCTTTCCCAAGCAGGTCTTTGTTCCTTGCCCTGCTGTTTATTTAGTTACGACGCAGCGCTGGATTGGTCTGCTGAGTTTTAGAAGCGAGACTATAGTTGTTTCCGTTGGAGAGTTTTTAACTTGCATCTTCTCATCCTCTGCATGATCTGTCGAGGCAGCGCCCGCCATTGCTGTGCTCTGCTCGCGATGGCTACTAATCCCATGCAGTGCGGGCTGCGGGCTCTCTGCATGCTATCCGAATACTGTAATGATACTGGTGTTCGGGCGGTTCTGTTGGATAGAGAGAAAGCCACACCGTGCATGCATGTATGTGTGTGTGTATGATGTACCATGTGGTATGTCATAGAGGTGGCTCGTCAAAATCAAACAGGACTATGTGTCAGGGTGCCTAAACGACTCACAGCAGTAGATCCAGGGTTCTGGCTTTGTTTGCGCGTCTATTGAAAAAACACTCAGAGTAAATCAGCGTCGGCATTGTGGACCTATGTCGAGTCAAACACAGACAACACGCGCGCCAACAAGCACGCCAGATCGCAGAACTCTTCTTGAAATTTCCCCTTGTCATCCTTTTTTACAACTATCATGCACCCCAAAGCGTCCCAAAGCAGTTGATCTAGGGTACTGGCTTTCTTTCCGCATCCAGTGCAAAAACTCGCGAGTTAATCGAGGGCGGGATGGTCGAGTAAGGTCGAGTCAAACACGTGACGGATCGCAGAACTCTTCCTACAAAACCCGGGGTTTCCTCCTTTTCCTTTTTTTTTTTTTTCATGCACCACCAGTAAAAAATCGCCGTTTTTTTGGGGCTTGCCACGTTCACGAATCCGTGTTTTTGACAGAAGCATCGGACAAGCGCACCGCGGGCGCTGTAACATCACTGAGAACGCTAGAAAGACCTGCCAAACTCACGTCCAGGTCTGTTGTGGAGATGGACAAGCGGCAGAAGCGGCGATCAGTCCGTTCTTGGCCCAAAACTAGGCATTGCGTGGTGCTCTCGTCTTCAACTGCTGCTGTTGGTGCTGGGGGATTTTTTCAATCACACATAGCAAACACGGAAACAGTAGAACGAGTACAGCAGCAGGACCAAGACCTCCAACGCGCTGATTTTCTTCGGTTCGGCTGTCCATATGATACCATCTCCCGGCGCCGTGCTGCTTCGTGGGTATTGGGTGCTTGGGTGCTGCTCAATAAAGTGTGTGAGAGACGTGTGCCACCTCTCACCAAAATGCCGTTGGAAAAAATGCGGCGAGATGATGCGTTTTTGGTCGTACGCATCAACATCAATCCACGGCACCACGCAGCAGTAGAGCAACAGGGCCTCCGACACGCTAATTCTTTCGGATTGGCCATCTATATGATGCTGGCCGTCAGCGCGGCTGCTGCCCTATGATTGTTGAGCTCGTCTACCTTTGGGCAGGTGATGGTCAAAGATGGGAGTCGCAACCGTGAAAAATGAGCTGGCAAACTGAAGAAATCGCACGCAACACCCAGGTGGCGACACTATGCCCTGCGCCTGTTGTTGCTGAAAACTGAAAACAGCAGGCCAGGTGGACGGGATCTTTCTAAGTGTGTTGTCCTCTGTGTCGGGTGCTGCTCATTGCGCTTTCACCGCTGCTCTATGGTGAGCAATACCATGTCAACCTGTTGTGTGTCGAGCTAAACGTGTATTCAGGGAAGGAAACGTACTCTTCGCGATGACATCACAATTAGAACAAGCGAAAAATAATCGGATCTTCTTTTCACCGTTGTTCCGTGAAAAAATGCGTTTCTTTTTCGTTGCGTTAACAATACCCGTAAGACTCAGCCTTGCGGGACACTTCATACGAAAAGGCGAATACTGGCACCAAGAACACATGCTTTCCAGTCAAAGAGCTCCCCATCCCCCAGCGAAGGGGGCTGGTGAGGCGGAAGGTGAACGGAGATAGAGCGCGACAGCTAATGGGTAGTCTCCAAACACTGACTTCTTGTAGATGCAAGATCCACCACTGCTGAACTACAAGTACTTCTGCAGCACCAAGACCGCTCTGCGGTTGCTTATACTCTTATCAGATTTCCCATTCGCCCCTTTCTTTCCGGGCCTCGCTCTATCACCTCAACGCTGGAGGTCTGCAGATACCTACATAGACGAGCAGCATGTTTCATTTGGCAGCAGCAGCTGCTGCTGTAGTCTACATGTAGCCTGCTTGGACGACCATGTTCGTTGTAGTGACGTGACGTGGAAACACGCATGATGTACGTACGTGAACCGGCAGGACAAGATCTGATAGATCGAAGCCCTCTGCCACCTCCTACACCACTTCATCTACCACTTCACCCGCCTTTGTCGTCAGAAGCGCCGTCTCCGTTACTGCTCTCTCAATTTCTGATCTCCACTACAGCACATGCCCCTGCTGTCTGGCATGTTGTGTGCCTTCAAGTAGCAGCAGCAGTCAACTGTCTCCAAGGGCGGGCTGCAGCCGCTCTGTTCTTCGCTCGCTCGCTCTCTCTCTCTCTCTCCCTCTCTCTCTGCGGCGCTCCACAGCAAATGCTTCGCGCTATAACGATCTGGCCAGGACCAGCACCACTCACCTCGGAAGTATGTACAGCAGTGTCCGCATGAGACCTCAGAGCAAAAAGAGCAATTGAGTGAGCAAGAGAGTTGAAGAGAGCATGAAGAGAGCAAGAGAGCGTAAGGGGGGCCGGAAGACAAACGTTTGAATTCAGGTATGCGCTTGACACGCGGGCAGCGTCCCCCCACAGTGACAACGGCCCGAGATCGAGAGAGCCAGCCTGTACCATTTCCCCCCACGGCGACAGGGGCCACAAGAGCTTATCAGCTAGAAGAGGAGGGAGTCTGCACCTCCACAGGGCAAGCCAGTTAATAACTTAGACCATCTGGCAGCTGGTTCTCGGTTCTCGGTGTACCGAACGTCCGCAGGAAGCGTCGAAGGTGAGAGTGATGAGAGCGAGTTGCGGTCGACGTGTCGACCACATCAAGAATGGTGTACCAGTACGTAGTGAGGACGGGCGAGAAGAAGGTAGATGCAGAGAGAGAGAGAGAGAGAGAGGCAGCCAGAGAGCAGCGGCTAGGTGTGCAACACCAACGACGGCCATGGCAGCAACGAACGGCACAGGCAGGCAGAGATCGCTTCGTCTCAAGGAACAGCGTGAGAGCGCTTTCAAAGTCAGCATCACCTACATGTGGTAAACACACACCCCGCACAGCGGCAATACTTGCGCATGTTGTGCATCGTCTCGCAATATTCGAGAGCAGACTACCGCTGTACATCGATTGCGAGGAGGCCAGAGGAGAGGAGATCTGTGCCGAGTCTTTGCAAGCGCCTATTTATCTAGTGCGCTCTTCCTCCTGGCCGTCTTGTTTCCCAGTCCACCGAAGAAAGGCGCGCGTTGTGTGTGCGCTTGCCTTGCAAGAAGCTTGAAGTCTTGTTTTGGTTTGGTTGTTCGAATTTTGAGAATTTTGCCAACGACACGACGTCGTTGATGCCTGGTACTGCTCGCTGAAGTATCCCGCACCGAGGAAGTGCTTTAATAATGCTGCTATACACACGCACGCGCAAAAAAAGCAACATAACTCTGTCACCGCGTTGAAGCTGCTACTGCTGTCTCCTGATTCTTGCAGTAGCAGTAGAGCCGGCGGTCTCCGTGAGGTACGCGCGCATTGACGACGGCCAGGAAGGAGTGCGAAACTATTTGCACGCACGCGAAGGTTCTGTCAACTTCTGCACGCACAGCAGTTTTGTTTGCAAGTTTCTTTGTGGGCGATGTTGCTCCACGAACTCCCAACCTTTTCTGTCAACCACACCCACAGCCATCCTTGACAGCGCACACATCGCGATCCTAATGCATGTACTAGCAACAGCCATTGACGCTCCCTAAGGTTGAGGCGACTACATACCTGCCTGCCCCAGCAACGTGCCGACCTTGATTTCTATTCTGCGCTCATGATCTGTTCCCGCATTTTTTTCGGGTGAATGCACACTTTGAGGTTGTTGTTGTTGTTGTTGTTGTTGTTGTCTTCCCATCAAAAACCGTTCCGGTCTCCGCTCAGTACCTTCTAATGTCCGTACTGGTCCAACTGACGCGGACACCTTCCGTAGTCACAAGCCAGCACGTAGTGAGAGAATTCTGCACTCAATTATCGCGTTAACAACCATCGGCGGAGGGGTAGGTAATGGGCATGGGGCCTTCTGTGTGACCACGGATTGGATGGAGCCCCTACCCCCCCTACCCTGCAGAAGTGCTGTGCGCGCTGATTTTTAATATGATGCAAAACACGTAAAACAATGCACATGTGTTCAGACTCACCTGTGGACGTTCGTTGCTGCAAGCGCCAACAAAACCAGCTGGCCTCACTGCTGTAGTTTATGAACAGCGTACGTGCAGGCTTAAACAACAGACTCAAAATACGCCCAGTGTCCAGCCGATTTTCTTCTCACTTACTGTAAGGACTTCAACTCATCCCCTTCGAGAATCTGTGGCATTATCCCGAAAGGGTAGGTTGTCTTTCTTTTTTTTCTTTTTTCTAAAAGCCCTGGCCACAAAAAACCACGACGCTCACATACCGGCGGGAAAAACCTAACGCGAACCGGCATGCACGCGAACGAACGTGGCCTCGGCTTGTCTAAAACAATGCTCATCATATGCACTGACTCCAGGTGCTCAAATCAACACGCAAGAGCTCAATACGGCCGGCAGTGTGACGAACGTGTGATCTTCACCCCTCCCCCTTTTCCCACCACCCGCCTCTTTTGCCTCCCTTTCCCCTTCGATAATCGGAATCACACCAGGAGGCTATGATGGTGGCTCGAGCGCCTGAGGTGGCGGCGCTCGCCGCCCCTCTGCTGCTGCCGCTGCTTCTGCCGCAGGAGGCCGGTGGCTTCATGCTGCCCCGGCAGTTTCATCACGTGCGGCAGGACGTATCGTTCAGCCCTGCCAACATGCTGTGAGTGTTTGGAACGTTCTTCAAGAAGAAGTAGTTTGTCCAGGGTTGAAGGTGTGAGCACCGTTGCAGAACCCATCTGTTTCGTGTAAAGTATGTAGCCCAGGTGTAGTTTTTATGGGCGGCCACCTGGCGATCAAGTAGCGGCATGGAAAGTCCAGCTCTACCGGTTGGGGGGGAAGGGGGGGGGTAGGCTGGTGCCATGAGCACGGAAGCCGACCAACTTCGTTCGTAAGACAAGCAAGGCTTACATGTAACGTTCGGAGGGGGGGTGTCTACCCCCCGAGGAGGAGGCAAAGAGAGAGTGTCATAATGACCAATTCCAGTGCGAGAGACGTCTCATCCCTCCCCCCCCTCTTCCACGCGATTGTGCCGCCTGTCTTGCCATCGCAGCCTCCGCTTCGGGGTTAAGGTCGCGCCGGTGATTCTCATGGCCGGCTCGCTCCCGGTTGCTGCTTCTGCTGCTACCGCAGGCGGCAGTATCAGCTCGTCGGCGCAGCCCACGAGCGCCGACGACGTCGGACTCGGGCCAGGTAAGCTCCACCGCGAGGTTTTCGGATCGTCGTGTACCAAACACAGCTACCGAAGCGTGGAGTCACTTGTTGCGTTTCGTTTGGACTGAAACGTCCACTCGTTACCCGGGCCGAGTTGGATTGTATGCATAGGTCGGTAGCTGACCAGTCCTCGAGGCCGCGTGTGTTATCGAGAGCCCTTACCCCCCCCCCCGTCTGTCTTTGAACGCTGCGGCGTCACTTGATGCGTTTTGCTTGGAGTTGAACGTCCTCTCGTTACCCGGGCCGAGTTGTATTGGAGGTGACTGACCTGTCCCGCACATCTTTCCGTGTTTGGCTCGAGGCTTCCTGGACTGTCGAGCGCCCTCCCTCCAGTTTTCGCCTCTGGCTTTGTTGTCGTCCTCCTCGTGGTCGTTGTTGTTGTTGTTGTTGTCTTCACGTTAAAAACCGTTCTGATCTCTGTACCATCTGTACGTACTACATAGTCTTACACTCGACGTGTTGATTCCCGTGCTCACAGGCCAACTCGCCCAATAACGGTACATTCTAAAGAAAAAAAAAGAAAGCCGAGGGGGGGTCCGCAAGCCAATAGAAATATCAGCGACAGATAGTTTAGGTAGAACCCTCCGGTCTCGCCTCTACACGCTATGCGAGGCTTTGACACGCTGAAACATTCGGAGCTTCGGTGGAACAGGGAGACACCGGCAGCTGGCTCAACACATGACGTACCCCCCTCTTTGCGCCTCGCCAGTTTCCCGTACACAACACAAGATAACACGCCCCCTGGACCGATTTTCAAAGCTCGACTACGGCACGAGGAAGAGGATTCTTAAACGAAAAGATACGTTGTCGGAGAGCTCTCAACGAGACGACTTCAACGCCGCCGTTATCGGCGCCATGCGACTCTTTGTGCTTGTTAATATATCGAGCTTTGAAAACCGGTCCAGGGGGTGTGTTGTCTTTTGTCGTGTACGGTATAGCAGTTTTTTTTCGCGCGCACATCAGACCTCGAGATTCGGCCGAGGTTGTTGTGTTGCATCCCCAAAACTGAAGAATGGAAAATGTCCACAAACAAGAACAAAAACAACCACGCCCAACCTTTTTTTTGTGGTGTCCCCAAAACCAAAAACTGAAAAACACACATTGCCAAACGCACCCAACTATTTTTATTTCCTTCTAACAGAGACAGTTGCCCGAAGCGTTGGTCGTTGTATTGTTACCTGGGGTGATGCTACTGCAAACACTGCCGCTATATACATATTCATAGACATTAGTATATGGATTCGAATAACCCGGCTCGCAAATGGTGCTCAAGTTCTTTCTTTTTTTTAGCTCGATTCCTCAACTGCCAGGATCTAGAGTATATGCACGACCGCTAACTTTACCACCCTTTTGACGCACAAACGTGCCGTGCGTGTCCTTCCCGCGATGAATGCGGTGTCGCGCCGGCGTTGGGTGCGGTGCCGCCAGGTGAGACCTGTGACCCGGAGGACGCGGACTGCCAAGGCGACGACACAGACGAGATTACCTTCTCGATGCTCCACTGGGTCCGCACGCTCTTCGTGTGGTACTCGGTGAGCCCCAGTGTGTCATTCCAACCAGAAGCTACTTTAGAATACGTCGCCCTCCTGTAGCGCGCACACGGATAAAACGCCTCGAGCCTACCCACCCCGCTAGGCTAACGTGCTTCTTCAGGGCGGGCGAAGGGAGTGCGCGTGTGTGCTGGTGTTTGGTCCTTTTCATATGGCATCGGTCTACGTCTGCACATGTTTGACGTATCAGCCGGGCTCTCACAGGACGAAGGTCACACAGCTTTTTTTTTTTTTTCGTTTTTCCCCCATCGTTCCTCCTGCGGTGCTTGCCTTACTTGGTTCTTCCCCGCGTAGGCTTGGGCCATCCCTTTCCCTCACAGGAGGAAGGTCACACAGCCGTTTTTTTTTTTTTCGTTTTCCCTCCCATCGTTCCTCCTGCGGTGCTTGCCTATTTTTTCTTTTCCCCGCGTGGGCTTCAGCCATCCCTTTCCCTCGTCGAACGTCGAGTCGAAGTTTGATTACTGACGAAATGCATCGATTTTCCTCCGCAAGTTGTACTAATAAAAAACAATTCCCGATAGAGAATCGAACCCAAGCCTTGCGATTGATTGTACTCTTGTAGAAGGTTCGCGAAGTTTAACCACGAGACCACCGGAGCTACTGCAGGAGTACGCCGCGACGAAAACTGAGCCAATACAGTATGCGAATGGACCGGTTTTGGCCCGAACCGCTGGCCGGACCTCTGACGTCATTTTGTTCTCCCGTATGACCGCCGCTCGTTGTCGTCGTCAAAAACAACAGGTCGCGCGCACGGCGATCGTCGCCATCATGTACATCGCGGGGGCGGCAACGTCCCTGTTCGTGGCGATCAGGAGGACGTTGTCGTTGTCCGGCCCGAGCAGCGGCGGCGGCAGCGGCGGCAGTACCTCTTCTTCTTCGTGGGTAGGGCGGCTGCTGGGGTGCCTGATTCGCGGCGTAGGCGGCGGCGGCACAGGAACGCAGGGCGCGCGTACCGCGGGCCCGCGCACCCTCACGGGCAGCGGCGCTCCTTCGGCGGCGGCGCCGTCGGCGGTGATCATCGTCCCGACCGTCTTCACGGCCACCACCACCACCACGACCGGCGGCGGCGGCGACGGGTCTGACACTACTGCTGGAGGAGGGGTCGGCGGAAGCCGCCGAGTCCCACCCGGGCTTTCGCGCATCATTTCGAACACCGACCGCATCGTGACCAACGCGCACGGGAACATGGACGACGTCCTCGCCGCTATCGAGAGCCTGTGAAAGAAAAACTTCGCAGGCCCTCCGCATCATCCCGTCTTCATTGCGGCCGGCACTGCTTCGCCCGCCGCCTCGACTGCTGCGAATTCGCCGCTGCTGGCGACGATGCCTGCCATCGCCCCCGCTCCAGGCGGCGATGATCCGGCCACCACCACCACGACCGGCGGGGGCGGCGGCGGCGGCGGGTCTGACGCTACTGCTGGAGGAGTGGTCGGCGGAATTCGCCGCGTCTCACCCAGGCTTTCGCGCATCATTTTCGAACACCGACCGCTTCGTGGCCAACGCGCACGAGAACATGGAAGACGTCCTCGTCGCTGTCGAGATCCCGTAAAAAATAAACATCGCGGGTCCCCCGCGACCCCGAGGCTACCTCGAACGACCGCCGTAGAAGTGTAGCAACTTTTACGACGGTGCTTGTCTTTGGAAATAACAACGTGTCCCAGTGATTTTTAGTGCAGTATTTTTTTTTTTGTACGGTATGCACTAAAACAATTACCATTACTTTTCGGGTTGGTGTTAATAAGGACGAGTGAGGGCGTTATGACGAAAAAACAAAACAAAACAAAACACGTGTTGGATGGGGATATGCTTGCTCCTTCTTTCATGAGTGCTTTCATCGACGCGTTTTCTTTATTTTTTAGGTGCGCGACATCGCCACTTTGGCACACGGTTGTGCACGCGTTTTTGGTGGCCTCTTCGAGTTGTTTCGTCCCTCTCTTGCCGTTTCGACATTCCAGCCGTTTCGGCTTGCTATGTAGTACATAGCAGATCGAATACCTGCTGCCTGGGCCAAGCCCCCGCCCAGACGAAGTTTCTTGCGCAGTTTTGGTCTTTTGGCGGGCGGGGTATTTCACGCGGCAAGTTTCGATAGGCGAGGACTGTACCCAGCCAAAGCAGGGGGTACAGATTGAGCGGCAGAATAGAGGGCACGGCGACAACGGCTGGGGTAGTTTTGATTCGACAACAATTATTATTACTTTTCGTAGCGGAGTCTTGATTCGACAACAATTATTATTACTTTTCGTAGCGGCGCCCTCCTGGTCTGCTCGTGTGACGCCCACATGGCGACCCGTTTTCCTCTTGGCTGGGACACGGGGAGCACTTTGGAGCAACGGGCAGCAGAGGCAACGGGTTGCAAACTCGGCATGGAAGATGATGGCGTTGCGTTGTTGGGAAGGGAGTCAACGCGGATAATATCCAAGGGACTCGGGGGTTCTATAGGGGCTTGTGCACATTGGTTAATGGCAGTCACATGTTGGGAGGTCTGTCGTAGGCTCCGTGGTTTCTTGTCTGTTTCAACGGATGATATGTATATAGTCCAGGAGTTCTGTGTATGTGATCAGTCACGTCTTCCATCAGCCACCCCTTGGAGGTGGAGTTCTGATGGAGATGCGGATCCATGGCCAGTCCTGGCAAGTCTGTCACATAACATTTTTTTGAGCGGGATGTGACTGGAGTTTCTCGCAGCTGAGGCCCCCCGGCACCATTCAATAGAGCCCAACTCGGCACGGAAGATGGTGGCTTTGCTGTGGGGACAGGGGTCAACCCGGACTATATCCGAAGTACATCTCGGGAACTCTTCTTGGAAGGGTTATGAGCAATCTGACTGTCGTGTTGGCACCGCAAGCCGTTGACCCGTTGGCTCGTGAGCACATATCATACAACTCGTCGCGGCAGACGTACGGCAGTGCCAACCCCTCGTAGGCAACCTCCATTTTCAGCGAGGCTCAAGAGTCTTTGCGGGGTCTAAACAATTGAGCAAGGGGTTGTCTCTGTGCTGCTGAATACTTCCAGGTTTTCGTGTGGCGCGGGTGGCTGAGCCCAAATTCTTGCGCTGTTGTTGTACCTATTGTTTCGGAGTTCTCAGCCATGATTCCTTAGAGCAGGCCAGCCTTGTAAGCTGAAAAAGATGGACAGGAGGGGATGAGAGAGAACGCTCGCGATTTTGGTCGGGATCGAGGATTGATTGAGAACGGGCCTCGCTTTGCCTGGGCGAGCATCCACTGAATGAATGCAACCATCCGAACTTTCCGCCATACGCCTTCAACAGCATGTTTGCCACACAAGGTGCACAGTCGACAAACAAGAAACCTCCTACAATGTGCGGCGAATTCACGCCGTACAGCAGTTAGCATTCGCTCAAAGAATCTCTAGTTTTGGCCAAGGCTTTAGTCTAAGGTTCTTCCATAGTTCCCAGGACCAGCGGGGCCTCGTCCCCACCAGGCCGACGCTTGTCGGGCGAGAGAGTGCCTCAACCGACTACACTGAAAAGGGAAACCACCGTCTGTGCCCTGTACGGTAGACTGGTATAGACTGCTGTATTCCGCGCTATACGGCAGTGGTCTTAAGACCTACCTGTGAAAATGTTTGAGGTGTTCGGCTGGATCGCTCGTCCTCTGGAAAAAATGAGCAGCAGTAGCAGAAGCAGCAGCAGCAGCAACAGCCGTGGGAGATAACGAAGGGGCCACCTTATCCTCTGGAGAAGGGGTCACGTCATCCTCTCTTGAGCGCGTCGATGCAGCTCCGCGTGACAGGGAACAAAACGTGTTTCCGAACGTTTTCGGGTGTAACCGACGGCAGCAGATTTTCCTGTCACCGAAACGTTCACCTTTAGTCTTAGCTGCGTACATGATGCTGGTCAAGGCCCAATATGCACCAGGTCAGTCGAGGTGAATATGGGCGGGTGCTTTTGGGCGTGCGGCGGAGATGATAGGTACGGCAAGGTTCGGTCTCCGGAGCTGTCGTATGCATGTTCACACGGAAACCCGGAAACCGGCGGTTGGCTGCGGTGGAATTTTCTTCGTACTGTTGGTGGGGGTTGTATTTCAACAATCCCGTGGCGTGGCAAACATTTTACCGCCGTACCCACCACCCACGGCCCTGTTTGCACACACCCAATAGTCCCCCATTCGGATGTCGTAGCCTACATGTTCTTTTCGACACCCCGTCCATTCTCCGTCCCCTTGCAAGCACAATTTGGTGCGAAACAAAGCAGCGTTTGCGGAGGGACCGAGAGGGAGAAAATGCTATTTCCACGGATATCGCAGATGCGCAGATTTTTCTTGTGGGCGGGCCACCGGTGACCGACGGAAATGGATATGACCTGTTTTTGATTCTGCGCTGGTGCTGTGAGCTGATGATGAACCGAGCCTCACTACTCACTACGTAAGAAGTACCTGATGGAATGCGGGCACAGCAAGGAACTGGCGGCCCGTTTGTCTCTCCGCGCGCGCAGAAGACTCCCGCTGGTGAGGTTTGTTTGGCTGTGAGCGTTGATTTCCGGTGATGCGGTCTTGCGCCTGCAGCAGCGTGTGTGTGTGCGTACATCGGTAGTTGAACAATATGACGCTGCCCGCGCTGCAAGAGGTAAGCGCCGCTGGTTCGATTCCAACCGGCTCACCCGCCGGGTACTCCCACCAACCCCGATTAAACAGCCGCTGAGAGTGGTAGATTGGTGTTGCGAGACCCCTCGTAAAGCTTGGGGCTTCGAAGACCGATCGAAACGGCGTGCTCTGCGTATGTTGTATGCGTACCTGCATGCCGATGGATTTTCATAACTCAAGGCAGCAGTGAAGCAACTTGAGGTTTGCACGCCAACATCCAACCAATGTTCGAAGAGCTTGGTTTATTCACGCACATTTTTTTTAGCGTGCTATGACGATGCCTTGTTTGGCGGATTGGTGGAGTGGAGTGGTCGGGGATATCCGCGAGCCCTCGTTCCCACAACCAGAGAGTCGTGTGTACGCTCGCAGATGTACGCTCTCGCGCGCTTACGTCGGGCTTTTTTTTTTGTTGACGACGATTGCGAAAATGGAAACCGTGATCATGAGCTATTTTTCCGATCTGGTGTTTTTCGCAAGGGTGTCGATTATAGACCACGTGCGGCATCTCAGGAGATTCGTAGGGTAAGCACCTCAAAGGAGGTCTTGACGACGACTGCGAAAATGGATAATAAAACGTGATCATGAGCTATTTTTCCGATCTGGTGTTCCCGCGGGTGTCGATTATAGACCACGTGCGGCATCTCAGGAGATTCGTAGGGTGAGCACCTCAAAGGAGGTGCGGTCGTTGGTGGCATGTCTTGCATCGCGCCTTTCAGAGGAAGGGGCAGCAGAGCGTGTCCGCCGGTCGGCGCTACGTTTTTCGTCAAGTCTTTTTATTCGGCCATAACCCCGCGGGCGGACAGATCTGTCCGAAACTTCGAATGGCGGATTTCAATGACGGACTTCAAGGTGTGTCATACATCCTACTCCGAGTATATTCAACCACAACAGCGTAGTTGCTTTCAGGTGCTCAGCATGGCTCCCACCTGATATTCAACATGGGACATACCACAAAAAAAAAAAAATACCACGTGGTACGTGACAAACATATCATGCAACGACTTCAAAGAGGGCAACCGTTCGAAATACTACCATCGGTTGTTGTTACCGGGAGTTGAAGGACTCAGCTGAATAGTAGACTGCTGGAGTCTGGTTAAGCCTGCGCACGCGTCGCCTCGGGGGCGCCTCGGCGGGCCTAAACGGTAATTGGTTGGTCTTCCGTCGTATTTTGGCTCTACTTTCCGCCATCAACGTCGTTACCTCCGAACTATTCCCGCTATCACAGGGCGCCAGACAGCAGGCGCTGGCCCAACGCCTACGCCTACGCTTATGTTCTTCGTTGGGGGTTGGCCCCGCAGCATGTAGAATGTCGGATCGGCAGGCCAAAAGCGAAAGGAAGTAAACTTCGTAGGACCAGTATATTTATCAACGCTCCTTGAAAATAAAAAATCAACCTGCTCTGATTTGGCCCACGACAGAAACAAGCCGGTTCTGGGTCTCCGACAGCTCAATTTTAGACTGTTTGCTGACTTGGGCTACTTTTTTTCCAAATTCAGAAATACAAAATAAAACCAATCCTATGCCATACGGTGTTGGTCCCGGTTTAGCGGTTCCTTCTCTAGCGAAATCCCCTGTATGCATATGGCGTATCCATAAACTTGTTTCACGGCTGCACCCCAGTTTAACTGTTGCATTCAACCGTTATACCGTCGTGCCCTGTGGGCCTTGGTCAATGGTAGTCAAAACTTAGAAGGCCTACGGAGACCCAGGGGTTCGTGGCATGGATATCGTTTAGAGGGTTTGGATGGTCATGGGGGTCAATCGGGATGGAGTCGTAATGGAAATGGATCAGTCGCCAGCAAGTTCATGGCCCCCAATACGTGGTTCTTGGTGCCGTCCTCAGCGGCCAATGTTGGTGATCGATTCAAGTTGACAGGAGACCCCGCGCACTCGTGGCACGGTACCAAGGATGCCTGGGTGGCGTCGCCCACAACTGTGCTAAAAACAATCAACCCTGGTCCAAATCGAAAATATGCACCCAGACTTTATAACCAGACGATTGAGTTTGTCCGGAAAAACTCCACAGAACACTGGAAGAGTCTTCTGCATCCTAGCCGTTTTTCCAACCCCTGACCTCAGATTGTTTTTATTTTGGCCGGTAACCAAAGTGGTGGTCGAGTAGATCATATTGTGCGGGGTCGACAACCCCCCCCCCGGTGTTTGCCATCGGGATTGGGTTTTCGTCGCTTGGCAACGACGTTGTAAAACATGCCGCCGCCCCCGGTGTTTGCCATCGGGGTCGGGTTTTCATTGCTTGGCAACGACGTTGTAAAACAAGCCCCCCGCTCGGTGTTTGCCATCGGGATTGGGTTTCCGTCGCTTGGCAACGACGTTGTAAAACAAGCCAATTCACTTCGTGAACTCAACTAGGTTACCGTTTCTTTTTTTACCTCTGTTTTTTTTTTGCGGTAACCATAATGGTGGTCGAGTAGATCATGTTGTGCGGGGTCGAGAAACCTCACTCCGCGCAACGGGGATGATCGCACCACGTTGTGGTAAAATGGTCAAGCATCCTCGAGGCAGTTACACAGTGCTTACAACTGTCTCTGGAAGTGAAAGCACCAGAAAAATAAATTAAGTCATACGCAGCTGTCATCCGTACGCAAGTAAGTAAGCACAAGATGCCGAACACCCTTAGCAGGATGCAGCTCACCCTTCATGCGACTCGCCGAATACCTCACGGCGCTTCGCGCTTGGTGATGTGAGAGCCTGGTCCGGTGAGAACCCGGCGTGCTCCGTCCCGGCTTTGTAGGGATGCGAGGTCAATGGTCTAACGACTACGGCATGCACGACTATGAGTACACCCCCCCCCCCCCCCCCCGACCTCAGAGATTAAGTTGACGAAACAAAGACTAGGCTGTGGTTGAGGTTGCGCTGGATTGCAGTTGGGCGGAGTTGGGGCTGCTGCCAGCGGGCCGGGGAACACCGTGGCACAAACGCGGGCGGGGGGGGCAACGGCACCACTGAAAACGGTGGCACGTGCTGCAAATGCTGCGGTGTATATCCTTGTGGCGCCTGTAGCGGCCATGCTGCTACAGCTTGTCGTGCTGCCGTTGGTAGGCCTATGAGGAGAAGACATATTCGTTGATCACGCATTTGCTGTGGAGCCTGTTGTGTGTTGTGTGCGATTGTGAAGCCTCTCCCTCGTGCTGCCTGGCAACGTAGCAAGAGCGAAATAAGGACCGTCTAGCAGTCCTTGCGTCTTATCGTTGAGCAGACCAACATTTGGGAACTCTGGGTTGCGGTTCGCCCAACTTGGCGGTGTGGATACTTTTCATTTGTGCGAGTCCGCTGTTCCGACCCAGAATTCAGCTTGCTGGGAATCATCTGACGTGAACACAAATAAAGACGTCTTGACATCATTTCACCCAGTCAAACACAGATTTTGTGAACCTATCTGTGCACGAAACGGTTGTGAAGTCTGGTCGCACAGTTCCAGTTCGGACCAGCACTCAGCACGAAAGCGGTACCGAACGGCGGTACTGAACGGCCTACATGGAGTTGTGCGAGGTTTTGACGTACCTTGACCATTACGTACATGTGCGTTGGACAAAGCATGATATCGGGCAAGTTGGGTTGGGGTTTGCGTTAGGGATAGGGTCTGCGTACGTACCCTCTCCCTGTTCTATTTCCTAACCGACTTATATGTTCTCGCGAAAGCGGTCCTGGCCATCACCCCAGGTAGACCCGTCCCGCCTCTTCGGCAGCGGCAGAGACGAAGCCCTATTATAGGCGGAGCTAGAAGAGCCAAAAGAGATCGACGATGCTTTTGCTTTGCGCAAGGACACGAACGGTTTGCTCGTCGAGAACAGTTGTCCAGGACGCACTGGGAAGAGGCCAACTCTTCCGACGACGAGCTTAGGCTAGATGGCACGGAAGAAGTGTTTTCCACGCGGAGGGCACAGGGGTGTGATCGCGCCGCCGCCATGCTCGCATCTATCGTCGCGTTTCTGGCGCGTGTGAACAGTGCGCGGGGGTCGTGTGTCATGGCCGAGGCAGCGTTCTCCCTCTAAACAAACCCAGAATGTCGTTCCTCGAAGCGCACGCCACTAAACCTAAGCGCCGGGCAGGTATCAAAGACAGTTGGGTTGAATCTCGTCAATACACGCGACAAAGTTGCAGAAGCAAGTCATTGAAGCGTGTGGTTAGTTGCCATTATGTTTGCACGATTTTGCGCGACGTGGCGTAGATGCGCATCGCTTTTTGTCCGATTCCGCCACCATTTCGTTTTAGAATTCGCTGATCGTACGCACTACGTGTACCAATACTACCAAAAAGCAGTTTTTTCGCGGGAAACAACACAAAATATCCTTGGCTTCTGATGAGGGAGTGGAAGGGGAAGGTTTGGGTTTTCGTAGATGAATATGCCCTACAAAATGTACTGCCGTGTTGGCTTCCCTACCTGTAGTCGGTTAGTTCCTCATCTACACGTCCGTGTGACTGTTGTAATTAAAGACACGTGACTCATGAAAAGAGCTCTGGACGTGACCTGATTCCGAAAACCTGGGGCGTTTTCCCAATTTGGTGGTTCATAACCGCTGTTGAGGCTCCAGGCTTAGCGGCTCGAACCTACCCGCTAAGGCGCGCCAGCAACGACGCACCAAATGGAGTTCGAAAATATGGTGTTACCGTAAGACGCTCACCCGGGACCGTTACGGTGTACAGATTTTACACGCTTCGTTTCGGTCCGGTGCGGTTCGCTGGGCTCTTCCGAGTCTTGTCGCCGTGGCTGTGTGGGCTCTTCGAGCTTATACACGCCGCAGCTGGCAGTCAGCCTTTCGAGGTTAGATTTCTTCATAGCTGGACTGGTGGCCATGCGCACGTACAGCAGAAACTTCACGAATGCGTCGAATGTGCACTTGAAGCAGGCTCAAGTGCCTGTACTGCTGTAGCGTGTTTGCTTGGTTTTCACTCTCATCTCCTCCGCCTATCCTCAGGGTTTACGCTACAGACCGTGCCCGTCGTCATGTCCGACTCTGCGCTGCTCTGGGGCGATATTCTCAGCGGTGAGTAAAATTGTTCTAGGCATTTCAACGTGGCGTGGAATAACCTGTCCAATTGGAGTCTTTTGTTGGGCACTTGTCGACCAGGAATTCGTGTTCCAGGTGTGATCTTCGGAACCAAGCGATCCGTTTCTGTCGTTTGAAGAACGTAAACTACACGCGCCTGCTTCGTTCGTTGGAAATCCCACTATTGACTCAGCTTTTCGCCGGGTGTCCTGATGCACCATGTGGGTCACTGTTGCTGCGGCGGGTTTCGTACGTTCGTACCGGCTTGACTGTCGCCACGTTTTTCAACCTACGCTTCGCTAGGTGTGCCGGCCATCGGTACGCGGCCGTCGGGTCTCGAGGAACGCGATGGAGAAATTCGGCTACAACGTAAATGGGCCGCTTCACTGGTAAATGACAAGGCCGCCATACCTGTACCAAGGGCAACCCAAGACCCAGGAAATTCAAAGCGCTACAAAAATTCGTCGTTGAAGCGAGAAGCCCGAAGGAACACCAGGGAAAGAGCAGCTGGCTTGAGGAGGTACCCGATCCAGCTTGATGAAGAATGGGACCAAATCGGATGTACTTGTGGAAAATCAGTAGCGTAGCCTGCCTCCGGCTTGGCTGGTAGCATCACCGCCACCGCTCTTCAGTAATACCCCGAACAAGGATTGCTGGGTGCGGAGGGCGCATGCCGTGGTTGGTGCCTGACGGCTTTGCGTTTCTTCAAGGAACGTTGGGGTTGATCACGCTTGACCTTGGTACGGTGCTATGGTCACAAGCTTCCATAAGCTGGAATCCCATGCTGTTGCAAACAAACACCGTTGCCTGACCAACTCAGCGCTAGTGTTCTTCGGCACAAAAGACGCATCCCAACCGCGCTCCTGGATACATGCCAGCCCTGCTGTATTAGGATACTCGGCACCGGAGTTCCGATAGGGATACCAATTGGTGAAAATATGCCTCCCGCCTCTTAAGGTTGCTTTCCTGCCGTTGTATCCCTTACCTCAACAGTTGCATCCTCACCACACGGCGTACATTGAACTCGGTTCGCACAGGTTTTTCTGAAGTACTACCAGCGAAACACGTTTTCACCTATGGTCTACCCGTTTTTCATTAGCCTTCCGCCTCCCTACTCGTACTGCCAGTGGATGTTATCCCTGTCGCAGGACGTTGCTGGCGACGATGGCGGCCATAAATGCGGGTTGCGTGGAAGGCAGCGGTGAGTGACGTGCCCGACGCTCACGTGGTAGGAAGCAGTGGCCCTCCGCCATCGGTCACGACTGTTTGCGGAGTGTGTCTTCGTTTGCCACGCATCGTTTGACAGCATGCACCGACTTGCGCACGGCCTCTTGCCTCACGTACTATCACGACTGCGACACGGTCTCATTCGCAAGGCTGCTCTGCTGTGGGGCATGCTGGTTTGAACGCGAGAAGGTGATCTCTACAGTAGTTCCTCCCCGTCACGTTTGCCGAGAAATAGTGGCATCTCGATAGCACGGAGCACGAAACGCGAGGTAGGGTGCCTGATCGCGACTGCTGTGCACTCATGACCTTGTTGCCGCAAGTTCCCGAGAGGTTGGTTGCGAACAACCAGACGGCGTGGGCCGCGTCCCTAATCATCATGTGTCATTCTTCGCGTGGCCTCCGCTCGTTCTCACGAGTCACATTCCCGTGGGTGCTTTTACTGCTTCGTTCCGTGCAGTGCTGGTTGACTTGCCATCGGGTTTAAAATGCGGGTGGTACAACCTGACGCACCCTGCTCAGTTCGCGATATTGTTTCTGGTGAGTGAATCCCAACATCATTTTGAGTCGGATGCCATGTACGCGACATGCCCCCCAACAACCCACGTTTTGCGTGCGTCCTGCCAGACGCCGATGTATAGGTTGCCGCTGATTCGGATTCATCATGTTTTGTCTCATGAAACGGTCAACGTGTCTTGAAAGACTCGAGTTGATGCCGATGACTGAGCCGTTGAATCGCGTTCACGACGTGCGCGGGTTTCGACGCAGATGGTGGGTCTCGTGTATTTTGTCAACCGGCTATTCAACGAGGCTGATAAGGTGGTGTACGCTCGATTGTCCCGCGCCACCAACGCTTGGATGGACGAGATCAGGCATAGACGCCGGGGGTATCAGCCGGTTGCAACCTAATATGTTCCACGAGACGGGGATGACCGACGTTGTATATTCGGGGCTCCAGGCACGTTATCTTAGCCGTAATGTAAGCCACAGGGACCACGGTGTAGAGGAAGAGCTAAGAATATGTCATCTACTTGGCACGCCGGAGGATCCGTCAAAGCCACCCACTCTGAGAGCCGAGCTAGGGTATGTCCGAAGTTGTATGATTCGAACACGATAAGACTCGGAGTGAACTGCAGTGCTGATTGCACCTTACCAAACGCGCTAGAGATCCGCCAACATGTAGCCATGCGAACCCGCGCTATTCGTTTCAGGACGGGAGCGACTGATGTGCGATAAAGTATTCACGTGGCAGCGGGCTGCTTCATATTTTATGTATTCCCCCCCTAGACAAGGACATACCGAAACATGCGCACGGGGTACGGCAGAAAGCCCTAGTGCTGTTGTAGACGGAGCAAACCCGTGATGGGTTGTGACCTCCTCGCCTCTGCATTTCCTCCACGATAAGGGTAGAACACATTTGTCGATTCACGTGGACAGTCACTCCAGACGTGTGCACCCCATTCAGCGCTCGTTTCCTCTTTTAAGTTTCGATCCGACCGCAGTTCTCTATTTTTGTTTTGTTGAGGTATCAATCCATAGTCTATTCTGTAGTCGGACACCAATACATTCTCCACTCAAAGTTGAAGGGTTGATGACACCGGTTTTGGTTCGGCGTGAATGCACTGGCGTTTCAGACCAAATTGACAGACTGAGCACTTGTCTACGATGACAAGCTTGTATTTACGTCGTTGTCGACTCAAGCACCGCCCGTTACAAGTATCGACTGCAGCACCCACGACACATCGGTACCCATGGTTATTCTTGCTCGTCGGGTGGCAATATCGTACCGCATGTGGCGTGCTCTTCTACTGTTTGTTAGAACCAAACGCCTTGCAGTCACTAGTCCATCATGCGGTTCGGTAGTACGTTACGGATGCAAGGGGTTTTCTTTCAACCACTTATTGAGAATACCCTCTATCTCATCGTCGACGCCAATGAGAATATCCTCTCTCATTTACGGAGTAAGGTTTCCTGGAGTGGTGAAAAGCGTTTACCATGGGAAGTAAAATCGCTTTTCTTGTAATGTGGCGAGGAAGTGCCAAGCGTAGGCGAGAGTCTCGGCTTAGCTAGTTCAAGAAAGGCGGAAGGTGTGAGAGTGAGGACCGTCAGGCGCTTTCGCCTCCATCTCCCCATCTCCGAGAGTCACATGAATAGTCTCGGTGTTCTGTGACTCTTTCCTGGCAAACGCCTTCGGACGGTAGACTATTCTTCGTGTAGTCCGACGATCTTTGCTGGTCGCATGTGCATCATTACCCCGAGGAAGATACTTACATGCTGGTTTCCACCTTGTGTGCAAGGATCTGCCGTTTAGAGCTCTTGAACCGTTTGCATACCAACCAGCCGGTGCCACATTCTGCAGCGGTCTGCCGTTCACCTAGCTACTGGTTTGGATCATCTGTCACTTCCACTCGGGACAACGGGCTGAAGCTCGTGACTAGCGCATGATGTTCGAACAGAGGAAGTGGGTCCGGGGGGAGGGGATGAGTGACAAACCACTTTGTCTCTCCAGTACGAAACGTGCACATGCTTCTCCTGTTCTTTTGGTGGAGCTGATCATGAGTTGATGCCCGCCCCAGGAGTTGTTTCGTCGAAGAGTAAACTTCGTATTCGTATTTGTCTTTTGTGTGTTATGCATCGCTAGCCACCCTTTCAATCGTTGGGCGCGTATGCAACGTGCACGCCACAGCTGTTCTTGGCTGGAATTGATCGTCTAGGTTGAATCCTAGTCCTTTGATAAGTACGGCACGGTGAATGGTTGTTGTCTGTGTCATGTTGCGTCGCCGTTCGATACATGCGCAGTTGGATTCGTTTCGTTTTTCGGGGGAACACACAAGCTCCTGTTGAACGAATTGTATGCCACGGGTTCGCCACACTATATGAAGCGTTGCGCTGGACGGTAAATGGGGAAGATAAAGTCGAGCAGTCTGATGACTGTTAACTGTCGCAAGGTAGTGCAACTGTCTATCTCCGATGCGTCTTCAGGTGTTTCGTTGGCTAGAGGGAGGTATTCCGCTCGTCATTGTATGCACCATAACGATGTTTCTTTTGATGTCCCAGCGTCTGCACTTGACGAGGGCCATCATTTTCGGGGTTCCCTGGCCTTTTTTGCTATTGCTTCGAGTGAGGCTATTCATAGGCCTGCCCTTTGAGCGTATACATTTGTTTGTCGTACCTAAGTCGACACAGGCGAACCGTACGCAATCTGCCTCCTTGACGATCAGTATTATGTTGACGTTACACGAGCTATCGACATCCCGTCATGGTGGTGACTCCTGACGCACCCCGCTTCGTGATGATGCATAACTAGGAGCCCGGCGATTTAATCCTAAAATTGGAAAAGGGATGGTAAACCTGGCTTGTGGATTTTCAGTCGTACAGTTTCGACCCCAAATGCTTCTACATGGCACACCCTCCGGCGCTGCAAGCACACCCTCCGGTGTATTGAACATCGGCCTCCACCATCCACCATCCGACAGGCGTTATTGACCCTTAATCGGTTCTGTAAAAGCTTTAAGCACCCAAATCAATCATGGTTTCTGTCAGGGAGTGAAATGTATGCAAAACGTCAGAAAGGGCTAGGGACGCACCGGGGTAGAAGAGGTTACCACCAAACTTGACTTGAACAGGGAGAACAGCAAGTACGCGTATTCCTCTCGTTCGGTAGCAGTCTCTCCCTATACCCCCTTTGTTCCGACCGCACAGCCTTGACGTTTACTCTTTGACTTACAGTACCTCATGCAAGGTTGGTTATTTGGCATGTAAAACCTGCACTAAGAAGTGCTCGCGTAGGTCGCCCCGCCCAATGCACGTCCGAGGCGTCCCCATGGGCATACTGGGAGGCGTGAGACTTCCCTTAGGACGCGTCGGACCCCTTCGGAGCGTCCACCGTCCATGGCCCGTTTGGAAGGTCTACATGCCCCAAGGAACAAGAAAAACAATAACGACGAAACACAAGCACAGGCAGTCACATGAACAAGAAAGGACTTGCTGAAACAAGGATACACGTGTTTGGCCACCGACGCCAACTTGAAGTCAAGAGTGAATCACGCAAGACAGACGAAACATATCCTTGACGCATGGATTAAAAGCTGGAGGAAACTTGTCATTACCCTAACTGCCGTACATACAGTGAATACTCCCTCTCTGCGTAGGCACGATATCGTCGTGACCCTGCCGTCTGCCTGAGATCTTTGCTCCGCGCAACGAGGTGGATGTTCAGCAGAGTTGTCACTTCTGCTCCCAGCTTCGATACTTACCGTACAGGACTTTCCTGGCATGATCCGTCGTGTCTGGGATGAAGTAGATATGGTTTCCGCAGGCCCACGACCAAACTGATCCTGGGTGTTTTTGTGCCCTCAATGCTCTTTCGGTGCCTGCGGTTTCAGGTCGTCGTCTTCCCACGGAACAGCGATCGCTTGCCTGTGATTCCGTCGAACCAGGTTGTTGTTTACGTCGATGAAGATATCAACTTACATAGTAGAGCCGCGGTCGGATGATACTCTCTCACTCACCACCGCTCTTCTTCCCATGTGGGGCATAAGGGGTACTTTTTTTCTTCTTCGCCGCGGCTGAGGTGTCTGCCGCCGTCGCGCTCAAGGCCAGTCCTTTAGGCTGCAATCGTGTTGGTGCGAGTGAACACCGATCACCTGACCCGTTCAGCCAGGTTTCACGACCTCCTGTGCACACGTCCACAGAGTCGAGTGGACCTGTTTCATATACCACCATCACGCGCGGTTAGATTCCGTCCGCAGGGGCTCCTCGTTGAAGTATATCGAATGCGTTACAACATCACGATTGCTTCATTGGCGACCTCTGCTCTGTTTGATGTAGTGCTCTCTAGCGGGTGTTATGTCACGCACTTTGCCAAGTATCTCTACTACTCCCTGGAGGGCTTACTTGTGTGGGTGAGCTCTTTACTCAACACCGATTCTCACTGCCTCAAGATTGAACCGTGGCCGATGAGTGTTCGCTGGCGCACGAGTGTCACTCATCAGCTGCTGGTATTCACGCTTGACGTGTGTAGTAGACATGTGAGTTGATCATCCCGTCCACATTTCTCGAAGCATATTTATGGTCCCGACGCATGCCATCCATGTTCAGTTGTGGGTCGCGGTTCCTTTCATCCCACGGTTAAGGCATGCATTGAATTTGTTTTGTCTCACTCCCTTGAGTCAACTTCATACTGTGAATCGTTTTATCTACCATTGGCGTGCCTCGATCTGTACATCGGTCCGGCCGAGGGGCTGTCGGGGGACAGGAAACCGACCCTCGACCCTTGCAGTGAATTTAGGGTTAATAAACAATGCTTTCATCACCATGCCCACCCCGACACTAAACTAGAGCTGGTCGTCCTACCGAACTTGCTTACACAACAGTGTTTCCGCCGCCCAAAACGAAAAATCAGAAAAGCTTCCTGGGCAGCGCGTCGAACGAGTGACATATTTCATGACTCCTAGAGAGGACAGTTTTCAGGCTGTCACCGTTTCATGACCAACCAGAGTTTGATCAGTTCACTCGTCGTGTGAAAATCTTTGGCGTACCGGCAGCGCGACAGTAGTGGGCACGCTCCTGCCCCCGTGCCCCCCCCCGGCGTACGATGTCGACTTAATCTCACAGCATCAATTGTTTTCACTTTGATCGCATCAACGAGTCCCTTCCTATCCTGCCTTCCGATATTGCAAGTGTAACCGACCCCCACCACCGTGCATGTGGTGTCCAAGCCGATGAACCGTATGGGGAATTCGGCATGTACTTCGGCATGCATATGTGATGCATGCATGCGAGCCACAGGTGCGTGCCAACAAACTGGATGGATCGCCTGAGCCATCGTCCAAGCAACGACAACGCCCCCAAGATCGCATAGTAGTGCCAATTGAGCCAATAACCCTCGCGATGTCACCCGCGGTCGACTCCAAACCATACAGAGACCTTCGACAAAACACCAAATACGACTACACGTTCAGCATGACCTCCCAATGCAGATCCTGGTTGTACGCACGCGGCCGGCCACACCTTGGCATTGCATGCTGACGGCAACCCCCACCCTGGTTGCCGCCGTGTTAACCGTATGATGGTCGGTTCGTGCAACCAAACCTGGATATCGGCACCTCTTTTTGGCGATATTGATCATGCCCTGCCGGCTGTGCTGCGCACAGAACTCCCGCTTGTTTCTGCCATTTTTACCGAATGACGGTTGCTTCGTGCATCCTGGATGGCCGCACCTCATGCAACGGACGTTGACCATACCCTCCTGACTGTGCTCAGCGCAGAACTCCGCCTTGCCAAGAGCTTTAGCAAATGACGGATGCTTCATAGATTCTGGATGGCCGCATCTCTTGTTGACGACATCGACCATACCCTGTTTCGCGTGCTGAGAACATAACTCCGGCTTCTTGCTGCCGTCCTTGCTGTATGACGCTCGTTTCATGCATCCCGCATGCACGCACCTCTTTTTGACGACATCGACCATACCCTCCTGACTGTGCTCAGCGCAGAACTCCGCCTTTTTGCTGAGGTTTGTACCATATGACGGATGCTTCATGCACCCTGGATGCCGCACCTCCTGGTGACGATGTTGACCATACCCTCCTGGCTGTGCTGAGCGCAGAACTCCGCCTTTTTTGCTGCCGTCTATACCATATGACGGGCGCTTCTTGCACCCCGGATGGCCGCACCTCTTGCCGACGACGTCGGTCATCCATGGTTCGGCGTGTTTTGAGCAGAACTCCGCCTTCTTGCTGGGGGCATTGCCGTACGATGGCGACGTTGTGCAGCCGTCCCCCTGGCAGAACCGTCTTGTCCGGCCCTTGGGTTGAACGGTCGTACGCGTTGGCTACAGGAACACACGGTGCAAAAAAATATCGCGCAGAAGGATTCTTTCGGCGGTTAAAGGGCCATTGTCACAGCAAATATGCCGGCGACATCGGGTAACAGCGAGAGAAACTCAATACACAACACAACACCTCAAAACGGACATTCCTGCCCCCCGGTTAATTTTGTTCAGTCCTGCCCACGCTGTGTGTGTTGCAAGTCCGTGGGGACACGTTGAAGCTGGTAGTTTTCCTCTTACGCGAGAACCGCGTTTACAAAGTCTATTTTTCAGGTAGCCTTCGCCCTCAACTATCTCGGGGTGTGTTGAATTGCACCGTCTTAAGCGTGTGTTTTTCCACAGACGCTGAAGATTGGTTTCGAACCGCCGAAGGTTCCCACGTGTGTCACACGACGGGTTAAATTGAATTGTGAGAGACCCTGCCTGCAGTCTTCAACGCCACTCAAGATACATCCTGTTCCCGTTTGCGCACATAGAGTAGGTGCGAAGCGATTGTGTGTACTTGAGGCTCCCGGCTTGTACTAGCAGTGAAAGTGCGAAATACACTCGGCATGTATGCCTCTTGTCTTTCGACGAACACTACTGAAACCGAACCATTCAAGAGAAGCGGTGCTGACCGTCGAAAACAACGCTAACCCACACGGGGGTAGACTCGCTACAGTCGCGAGCTTCGTCGATTATATCTCTTCATCAGTTTTTTCCAGCACTGAAAACCGCTTTAGAAGGTACTCGATTCCCCCAACTGTGTATTACCGATAGGGTGCCCAGCAGTACAATAGTCGACCCCACCCCACCAATACCAACCATCAGCTGCCCGGTACGGAGGCGAAGTATGAATGCCGTGCTTCACATGCCCTAACCAAAGCATGCACGAGTCTACCCCGTAGTCACGATTTCTCGCATAGAAACGCGTGGAGAACAAAACTTCCGCTCGCCGACTTGTGTGGTGCCACCGTCCTACCGCCCCCGCGTTTTTCCGCTGTTCGTTGTGCGGAGGGCTTTCGTTGGCGCTTGGACGACGCGCTCGCGGGGCTGACAATCAAACACGAAGTATAACCATGTGAGGGGAAACACAACATCAGATTTAGAATATCCGGTAGACGCATGCACAGCT